TGTATCGGGAAAGTTGATTGTAATGCGGCAACAGCGAACTTAGCTACTAGCTCTTTCTTTTATAATCCTCTAAACTTGGACGGAAATAGATTAATTTGAAGTACCTTCCCACCATTTTCACTTGTAAGCAAACTATTTGAAAGATTCTCCAGCCAAACTAGATAATTCCATAAATATATATAATATTATATATATGATAAAAAAATTATCATAGATCAAGTTGCTTTTGATGTTATCTAAATTAAAGAGTTAAAACAGATAGTTTAAAGTTAAGGGTCACAAGGACAAATCAAATCTAATTTTTGTACCAGCGTCAGACTTAATGTTCCAAAAAAGAAAACCATTTTTAAATTTGCGTCGTCTACATTTGAAAGGTGAGAAAATATCTGCTCATGATATACTTAAGTTTATTCAACTTCTTTTTACCTCACATATAAGAAGGTGAACAGGTTTAGATATAAACCGTTGTTCGCATAGTGTAGCTATTTCAGTTAATACCGTTTGAAAAACTTACTTTAGTCATAATCTACGTTCAACTCGGCAAGATCCTAGTTTTTTTTACTGAAATTGCTTTTCTAAATTGGTTATTGCCACAGTACCGAATTGAAAAGGATTTTTTTTAAATAGCCTCCAAACAATGTTTTTTTAGTTATGGTAAAATCTGTGTACCATAGCATACGGTAATAGATGCTTCAAAGTGTTCGGCGTTTAGTATGACCGCCGAACATTGCTTGAGACGGCTGGCTCCCCAGGAGGAAACGAAGCGTGCCTACGCCAGGTTTATAATTCCGTGGCACTTGTATTTAATTTGAACTTATTAGAAATAGAAACCGATATAACTTAGATGACCAATACCAATACCTTCAAGAACGCTACCATGGGAACTATAAACATTCAGTCGTCGCTGGTATAATTTTTAGCGTTGGTAAATACTTACTGTTGCCGTAGTGATTCATAAGTCTAGTGGAGTGAACCTTAGATAAGTCCAACAGGACTCACTCTGGCTAATGTTAGGGTTCAGTTTTTAATACTATACCAAAGAGGCGATTATGAGGAATAGCTGGAAATGTTCAAAATTAAAAACATTTAATACAAATAGCATTTTATAATTACCATCTAGCTTACGTCTTTTAGATAGTTCAAGGAGAATATGTAGCAGTGGTATGTGTAGAAAGAAATATTATATAATCATATAAATCTTAAAATATATTCAATACTATCTGACTGGTTAGCGAAAGCCGCTCTCACTGATAAGTAGCAAAAGTGAGGACTAAGTGTCTATTGCTATTTATAATGAGTGATATCATTCTGTTTAACATAAGTTTATTTGTAAGATAGAAAATAGATAATTATTCACCGTTTTTAAACAGTTCACATAACTTATTTCACTTTTTTAGAGCACTTGACCTTGCCAAAAAAAAAGGTAAGGGAAGGATATTCTTATATATATATATATATATATATATATAGGTGAGAGCAGAAGGAAAATCTTCGAGCTTGAATATTTGGAAAAATGCTTTAATTTAAGGCTGTCAGAAAGATAATTCCAGGCCCTCTGCAGTTGTTAGTCATGCAGTTTAATTTTCAACAATTTTAAATAATTAAATGAAAAACTAAAATAATTTTTTGGCACAGAATTAATGTTATTTATTATTTCCTATTATGTAACATGCAAAAATGTATTGAAATATTATCAGGGAATGCGCATATGGTTTGATTATTGTGACATGATTTATAATAAAAAGCTACCATCGCATAAAATAAAATCATAGTCTGTTATAGTTCTGTCAAATAGGGTATAAGTAAAAAAGGCTTGAACAGTACGGTCATAGTTCTAACGGCAGTAACAGATGAACCAAATAACTAAAATAAAAGTTGATTATTTAAAGGTTCACAAACTAGACCTATTATTAAGTGACTTGAGTGACATGCAGCCGCAGGGCTAACTGACACGCTTTCATTGTTTAGCGTATATACATACACACACATACATACATACATACATACATACATACATATGTACGAATAGCTCTTTCTATAATCGTGAATAGTAGCAGTGAGGTTATATGTTGGTGTATTGCTTACTCAGCTATACCAGCCGCAAACATTTCTAAAGCGCTCAGTGCCTACTTGTCAGAACTTGTGAAGTTGAACGTCGATTCGGTAAACCATATCTTAAAGAAAACGCAAAGTCCACAACACTATCGACAAGAACGGATATAACTACAACGCTTACGTACAAATAAGGCTACTAACACGATAGACAACGATGAGCGCAGCTTTGCGAAGCAGGGTCCTTGGACGCGATCGCAGATAAAGTCACAATGAATCTACCAGTATAGCTGAATTATTGAATAACTAGCACTCTGTGCTAAGTGCGTCCAAAAGCGGCGGCGGCGGCGGCGGGGGGGGGGGGGGAGAGATTATTCCAAAATCACTTAAGCCATGTGATACCTTGAGGAAAAATAGGTCTAAGTCACACGCCTATCGGGCCACACGCAGTTTTAAAATTCAACCGCCGTAGAAACCCTTTCTTTCTCTGTGTATTTCTAACGTCCAAATGAAAAGCTTTGATCATGCAAGGTACACTCTGTAAAAACGGTCCTCTCGTCCGACGCACAATACAAATTTTACTTTAATTTGGCGCCAAATAAGTTGGACGCTTTCGTCAGTGGTATGGAGTGGGCTATTTTGTCGATCCATGGTAACTAATCATCAGTTTCTAACTAAACTGTCAGATCCGGTAGAAATAAAAGCACAGCAGAGGAAGTTCTCACATTATTCTATTATATTGGGTATTTGGTATATATATATTGGGTAATTGGACGTTGTTCGTTTTTTGTTTACTATCTACAACGCTATTCGATACATCTGAGGTAGCTAGTTGATTCGGTAGTTCGCCAGAGGTTTTATTATATTTTGTAACTATGGGGAGGAGAACAGCAATAGGATATTATAGGTACTAACGTGAGTTGTCCCAGATTAACGGTTACAATAGCAGACCTACGTAACCCAGTTTAGCCCCCCGATATGTCGTTATTTAATATATTATATACAACACACGTGCTATGCATATTCAGTTGCCTTCCTCGGCAACGGAATTCACATACCAAGTACTAAATGCTCACTTAATTCTTATTTGTCGCGTCAGCGTTCAGACAACGCGGCTGCGTACTGACGCATTTCTGTCACAGTGTATTTTTCGTTTATTCTTTACTAGAAATGTTTAATTGTAGAATTCTTATTATTTATACCAGCTGCTCATACATTCGGACTCAAGCTGACCTATTGTTATCATTATAATTTGTAACTTTTTAGAAAATCTAATTCATTTTTTAACCAAAACAAGGCTGGCTCAAGCCAGTCCGAAAGATTCCAGTACCGTCAGGGCCCTATTTAAAGATTAAGCAACTAAGGTATAACCAAAAAAACGATGTATTTAAATGACAGGCTTGCGAAGCCATGCTAAAGGGCGAGGCGTAGGCCTGTCGTGGAGTCAGGTATGGGAAAAAGCTTTCTGAAGCTTTCCGTCCGAACAATAATAAAACATCATCAGTCACTACTTCATAAACATGAACACTGTTAATTTTTTAAATATCAAGGGTATTTATCATCATAACGATATATCGTATACTCATAACACGAGTTGTCTCAGCTGCACACTGACTATTGAGAAGTGTTAAATCGTTTTACAAAGGGAAAAATTGCTGCAAATCATCACTTACATGTTAGAGCTAATTTGCTTCGTACTGACTTGGCAAAAGATGGCGGAAAGATATGTATTGATACACCCTCAGAACGTTCGAGCAAGCCATTTTCTTAATGTCGGCACCGTATCTAACCGGGTGATTCGTGTCGTATAGGACGCTCGTGATTCGTTCCCGAGCAGCGTTCTGTGCTACCGATACGTTCTAGCTGTCACTTCAACGTGCCGAGTTCGCCTCATGCGCCACAAAGTGGCAGTTAAGCTCTTTCAATTACAGTAAATCGACAGTACACGGCGTTGTATTTAAGTGTACGGTGGCAGAAAGAGCAAAAGTGGATTTTAGCATAGGTTAACCCACAACAGATAAAACCCAGTGCACACTTCACAGTGAATTGGTACCGCCCGATAGTGAATTTCTAATTATTCTCTGACTTCGATTCCATCGATACTTGGGCATTTTAATGTTGACAAGGCTACCGTGTTATTAGTTGCTCACCAAGATTTTAGGTTCATGTCGTATGTCATAAAAAATAAAAGAGAACCCTTCTAAGGCTGACAGAGCCAGTAAATTTACCCGTGGTGTTTACCGTTTCCTTCTAGGAGTGAAGCAACAGGTCGCCGGATCTTCTCTGGTGATAAAATGTCGGTAAAAATCGTCTGCACAGATGGGTCTGCACGATTCAAAAGATGAACTTATTGGTGGCAAAAGCAATTTAGGCCACAAATTAAAAGTGTGATCGAAAAGCCTAGTTTTATAGTATATAAATTATTTTCTTAGTGTTACTATGCTGTTTCATAGGTCTGTTAGGGAAACGTTTATCAGGACCTTCGATCTATCTCATCGTAAGCTCGTCTTTGATGCTATACCTAAAAGTTCCAATCTACTTGTTAACACAGTAGAAATAAGCAAACGCATTAAAAATAGTTTATAAGCGAGAGTCCGCATTTCCTATATATAAATTCGGATAAAATGAAGAAACGAATTCTCTAATAGCTACTGGGCGTGATGACCAACAGTTGTAAAAGCTAATCCACTAATGTTAGTGTATAATAATAAGAGTGAACTCTTTTTGCAGTAACAGTCAATAGACATGTTATTACCACTGCCTCTTCTTATCGTTGTTATTAATCTTAATGTTATTATTACTGTCATTCCTATTATTATTATCGTTATCATTTTTATAACCACAATAATGATCTACGGCTATATGTCTTATACATATGTAGGCTAGATGTCGCGGCGACGACATTTTCAAGAGGATTTAGATCAGGGTTGGATTGGTATTGGGCTCGATGGGTCGAAGACAGATCTCCAATCGCTGCTTGAAACTGCCTGGCGTCTTGAGCAGCATATAGACCGCATACAATGGCACCTAACAATCGATCGACAAGCAAGAACTATTACAACTGAGTTCACTATTTTAGTGACATTTTGGTGGCCTAATTCGAAGGTTGCTCTCTCCTATACCGGACGAGTAAAAAAAAAGTAACTAAAATGGGAAATCAGACTTAATAGCCGAGGTCAGAATGACATTTGTCCCCTAATGCTCGATAATCTCCCAACTGAAGGTTCTGATACAGGTAATGGCTGGGTGACTGTTGCTACCAAATTGATATGTAAGCCTGCCTTCTCATGCAGATAAACTTGAAGCACGCATAAGTCGGTGTGAATCTGAAACAAATAACATAGCGGAAGACATACATAACCGTAAAGCGCGAGGGGCTGAAAGTGTGGAGAGGCTCACGTTTGCGACTTCCTTTTAGGGACACAGTATCTCATGCAACCTGTAAATGTCTAGAGGCAAATAATATCTGACAAAGATTCGCAATGTTAGTTGGTCACTAGCCGATGCGGCAAAACATAGGACACCTTGATGGTTAGCCTATTTAGCCAGCCGTCATGTTCTGGACTATCTGAGGACCGCGGCTGTTTCGCTTGGGATCACTTCAGCGTTTGGTAGCCTCTCGGGAATCGCTGTTCCAGTGACTTCACAGTATCAACTTGTACCATCCGCTGGGGTTCCTACTGCCCACAATTAACCAGGCAAAATAAGGCGCTTGTTTTCAAAATAGTAGCGAAAGCTGGAACCTGACGCGACCGTACACAAAGGATCTCGCCTTAATATTGTTATGTTGTATGTTAGGCTTCCCATAGATTATTCAAAAGGAAAAGTGAGGTTAGTACGACCGATGGACACAAAGAGCGTGGCAAACGAAGTGATTAGTGACTTCACGGATAATAATATGAACTCTGAGAAGTACGTACTCCCTTGAGAACCGTTCAAACAATGAATAATGCAATCGAAATTCTTGAATCATAATTGCGCACTCGAACCTGGCCTTCCGGTCTAGGAAAATAACGCAAGTGGGCAAGATACACAGACATAAAAAGACGACACGTTACAACCAAAAGGAATCATTATTTAACCGGGTCGTTTGATCTCTAAAGCGATAGCTCGCTTCGACCGAGAAATATATATACAAGAAAAAAGTGAACAGTTGAGAAAGAACAACATGACCATATGTTATTATTTCTAGTTAAGAACTAGTTTTTCGTGCCTTGGGGCGGGGGGGGGGAGGGTATACGCAACCTAAACAATTATGAGCTTAAGCAGTGACTGTAAAAGACAACAGTGGGAGGGAAGTACTTAACAGAGGGATAAAACTATTTAAAGTGGCTACTAAACATTAGAAGAAAAGGAAACAACCGACATGTACCGCTAAATATTAGACTGCAAATGATCACACACAAAAAAAAACAAAAATGCTCGAGACTACATAAAGTAGATCCGCTATAGAACTAAATATAGATAATAGTGTACATTTATGCATATTTATAAAAAGAAACCTTTTCAATACCATTATAGTCTAAAATTTTGCCTAACTGACCTGAGGATGCGGGTATTCTTACTCGAGAAAGGTTTGTCGAGTATGGGGGTTGTCAGAACTTACCGATCCATCGCAGTATTTAGCTTTCCATATAAATTAATATCAAAGTTAGTTCGTAAAAGTATAAAGGATAGATATTGTAACACGAATCTTAGGAGAAATGTAAGATGGATTCAGGAAGAACAGGCGAGGAGATATCTTTAAGTAATAGTCTTAGGCTGATGTTGGAGCTGGCTGGCGACAGACCATAGCAAACAGCCAGCATGTGTTTTTCTTAATGCTCTCAAAATATTAGATATATAGCCAACAAACATCGGAAGATGTTAAGAGGAATAAGGCACAAACTCTGCCTGAAATGCAATAATTAAACTGTTACACATGTAAGCAGGCTAACAAAGGCTTCTTTAAATGGAAGGGAAGAGGTAAGCAAAAATAAGTTCTATAGATATCTCCGAATCATGTTAGACCAAAAACAAATCTCTTTCTCAGGACATGGAGAGGATCTGGGTCGAAAAGTCGGCCAATACATTCAAGCAACTATATTACTTGCCACTCTAGCCGTATAGCAGGTTTGAGATATCCAGCGTCTACTTAAAGGTGGTAGTGGTATCCAGCACCACATAGAGAAACAGGCAGACAATGAGGTGGAAAACTACCAGGAAGTCCTTTCGAGAGAGAGAAAAGGACGAAAGAGACAGTGAAACGTGTGTTACCAGAATAGAGTACAGGAGTATATAAGCGGCTGGAGCTGTCAGACGAGATAGCTGCACGACCTCTCGGAAGCAGAAAGTATAATTCAGATCGGCGAGTCTGATCATCGAAACATCTGGTCAATTGAATACCTTGTTTACACGGATGGCGCTCGGAATAATGTTCATAAAAAAAAACGATGATAGCGCAGACCGTTGGATCGTAAAGCTGCCTGTTTCTACATTGTATCAATGGTTCATCATTGGATGACAATTGTAGCCGGTGAGCGTGCTCGCAGAAGAAATCTAAAAATTGATATCTTATCTAAATTATCGCGATTTGTGCCTACAACAAAGATAACCCATTTTTAAATTACCAATTAGCAACACCTGCAATAAATTTCAGTTTGAGTTTATCTCCTGCTATTTGCAATAGACTACCAACTGAGAATCTACTTTGCTCTTCTTTTTGTCCTGTAAAGCATCGATTTATAAAAAGCAGTTCTAACTTAGAATTGAGTATTTTCGATTTCAGCTTATTGCTTTAAGTTAACAGCGGAGCGCCGGTGTGTTACGCTGGGACTCACATATGATTAGAACGGCAATATCCTATCAAGGTATAGGCACAAGTTCCTTTTAGGTTGCCTTTTATTGTTTCGTGATGAATAAGGCCTTCAAAAGCATAGTAACATCAATGTTAAATCCTTACGCTGACAGTGGGAGGTAAATTTTGATACTGATATGGGCGTACTATATAATCAATAGTTTAAACCTTAACGAATGTAACTTACAAGCATCATCGAGCTGAGAGCGGTGGCGACCCCAACGCGAACGGACCACCACGGATATTTTGAAACGTCCAAATCTGTAGTACGAGCTCGCTCAAAAGAAAACACCAATACCACCTGCAATTACATTAAATTCAATAGTTGTTCTCTGTACACAATTCATTGTCAGTAAGTTAATCGTTCCAATCTACCCCAATTATCTAATTAACTCTGATATATGAATATTTTGATCTGTGTGGCCTTCAACCTTGCTAGTTCATTCATTAATAAGAAAAAAAAAATACACACCAGTAAAAATATAGGACTGATGTAGGTCCAGCACAGACGCCAATATAGGCCTGGCGGGGAACCGAGCATTTGGTAAACCTGTGAAGAAAACAGTTCGCATAGAGTTAAGAAGCGTTATTGGAGCCAGAAGAATAGGGTAAATACTTCGCTTTTGGACGACAGATATCTGATACATAAATTCTTCATCCAAATTATATTATATTTTGCGTAGGATATAATGTACGGGGAAGATCTCTGTACATCTTTCCTTAATCTGATGTCGTTTCTCAGTCTATCTCGATTTCCACATAGCACATTTAGGCAGTAAAAATACTAGGTACAGAAAAAACTTCTGCTGACAATCTCGGTTTTATACAACAAACATTATTCGTTAACTATTCCATACAAAGTTCAACCAACTTCAGTCTTGATTATTTCCGTCTTTTGAGACCCTCTACGTGGATTAATCTAGTTCAAATTCTAGTTTAAAGAAAGGCTTCCTACAGGAGGTCTATCACTGTTTCTAATACCATATGCCTAGACGGAATATGATTTTCTTTAAGGATTTTTGAAACCTTGCAATGTAAAGGCTTCTTAAATTGACCTTTTTTTTTTCAAAATTGGCGCCACTAACGCAGAAGCAGAACACAAATTCAATCTGCCGTTGATCAGAGAGGTAATATCCAGTGGTTTTAGGTGTTAGGATTGTGAATTGTATGCTTGAAAACACAGCCTTTTGAACCACTAACTGACTGGCCAACACTTCCCACTCAAGCGGACAGCACGGTCGCTAATTAACGAACACGTATATCAGCTGCATCTATCACCAGAAAAAGAGTGTGATCAGCGTAAGATTGCGTACCTACTAAAAGAAGTTAATAATTCAACTTGGAGGTAGCGGTCAGAGAATAACAGCAGAACAGTGACCTAAAACCAACAGTATTCGCAACAGAATAACTGTGAAGAGGCAATGAGCTTTATTCGGCACATAAATACAATTTAAATCAAAGTAAATTTTTTAAATTTAAATAAAAAGTTGACAAAAACATGTAGTGCTGTTTTTGAATCTACACAATAGTCGGACGATAAACTTCTGCGACGCGATCAAAAAGATATTCTACTTGCTCCCTTAAAATTCTTTCTAATTTTTTGTCCATAGTACCGGCAACGTCTCAGTAAAAATACTGGAACACCTAAAGAAACTACGCTTCGCAGGTTTTCGCGCTATTTATTTAGAAGCTCCCGGATCTCAATCTATAGCTTCTTTTTAGACATTTTTGGACAATTCCTAAAAAGTACTCAGGTGGGAGATATGATCTCAGCAGCCATAGTCAGCCCAGCACATAAAGGTTGAGCTCATTAATAAGAAGTCAGTGTCACCGTTTATTAAAGAAAAACCTTCGCAATTCTCTACATTACAGGACTTTTTACATAACGAAAAAACGGTGTAAATGGCCTATTCTCATGGAGAGTCTTCCGCGCGCTATGCAACGATCATACAATAATTTGTATAGCGTTATTGTCTCATATATTATTGTAGAGATGATGCCTTTGTAACAAACTTATGAAAACATTTCGCGTCATTATTGCTATTCCGTCCAAGCAGTTGCTATATATATTTGGAATTAACCTTCAGCAAAATAACTTTTCTATAGGCTCTTTTTCGCCGATTGGCTTAACTTGCTTGATACAACTAAACCAAGTATAGATATTTATTGACCGTCAAACACTTTCTACTTTTAAAAGCTTTTCTGTAGCACGGAAACAATGCTGGCCTTAAAAGATGAAGAGTATGCCAAACCCTGGGTGCGGGTGCGTCTTTTGGAACGACTCACTCTTCTTTTTGATCTATATTACTACGATCGCCATCTGTGATAATTATGTGTCGAATTTTTATCATTTTGACTGCGTATTATTGCTTAGTGCTAGACAGAGAATGTTGTGAACGATATGTTAGTTGAAATAAGGCACTTTTGGGTGCATTCAGAGATAAACAAATTGTAGACAGCCAAACAGAAAGGGGAACTTTAAAGGGCGAGCGGGGGTACCAAAATAATTATATTTTCATTAATGCATGCTATATGAATAGCAATAGAACGCCTCGCAATAGCAAATAATTCGACTCACCTTCTGCGAAAACCGTTCAGCTCCGTAAATCCAGCAAATAACTACACCTTCGACGAACACCACAAATAAGACGCTAACAGCTGTCGCGTAGGTGTCTAAAAGCTCCACCTGCAGAAATACGTGCGTCCATGCAATAGCGATCTTAAAAGGATTAACTAAGAAGCTGACTATACTCTTATATATATTAGTACTACACAGTTATCATTTTTACATCTACTCATCTATACACCTGTCTACTAACTGTTGAATGTTTGTGTTTGTCTATTTGATAAACTCAAAGCTATTTTGGCTGATCGTTAAAGGTTAATCCTGAATATCTGCGAAGCAGATGGAGCCGGTTGACTTTCTTCAGAGGAAAAAGGTTGCACTTTCTCATAGAACGGGACAGCAATTTTTCTGGCTCTGAACCGACGATAGCAACTTCGTTCTTCTTTTCTATTTTTGGAAACACCGCCCTTGCGTTTCGAAACTCTAAGACGAACGCTAACATCGTCCGCGCGATGTTAGCGTTTGTCTTAGAGTCAACGTGAAATTTAGGTAAACGAGTGTGCTTAACCTGTATTGCACGACGAATTTTATATTCCACTGTGAAAGAAGAAATCGTATTATTGTCTTCGCCTATAGCTATTAGGGAATAGTTGACAGCGTGTTGATGTTAAATCTATTATCAGACAAAATGTGTTTATTAGCAAAATAAACCGGGCGAAATGAACTGGGCGAATCCCACGGATGTCCAGCTAGCCGAGCCGTTTTAGTGTCGTAACCGTACGGCCGCCCTATATTACGCTATTACCATAAGCTTAATATCGCACCGTACTGATTTACCTACGGGGTAAAAATAACTAAAAGAACTCCTTTGGGATGAATTTCTATTAAGTTTCATTTTAAAGGCTGAGGCGTCTAATGTTGACTTGAAATAAATTCGCAAACATTGGTGACGTCCCAGAAATAATAGAATATAATAAGTATAAAGTGTAATATTTAAAAATAGACAAACCAAAAACAAAAAGAGCTTGTTGAGTCTCGGTGACGTTGCAGCTACAAGGTCAAAATAACCAGAAGATATGGAATTATCATTGAATGTTTATTCTAATTTAGTTAATTATTTAATAAATAAAAAACCCTTACGTCTTGATGCTGCCTGATTCACGTGCTTCCCGGGGGCACAGTTAATCGACCAACACTAAAAAAGCTTCGTAATCAAGTTCACAAATCTAGACTGAACTCCCGGCAAACGTATTGGCATAAGCTATTGAAACAACTGCCAAAAGGACAACGAATTACATGATAGAAGGTAATGGCAACGAGACAACTCATGACTGAATCTAGTCGCTGGTGGACTTTTATGTTAGGCTGAATGTAATATCAATAGTCAATTAGTTAAATCAGCGACAAAGCAGGCAAGGCCCGAACCCCGCGGGCCCATCTTCTGTAGTGTTAAATCTTTATGTGTGTCTGTCTGTGTGACCGACCTAATGTCCGTTCGCAGGATGTTGTTGATTCCTCGAGCTGGGCATAGGTAAGAAAAAATTGTCGACTCAATCTACAGACAACATGGCCATCGCAGCGAAAACTGCTTCCGTTAATAAATGTAGTGTTTTTTTATGTCCGGTACCTCCATTAAGCGAACGAATGCTTCAGACAACTAGCTCTCAGCACGGAACGAGGTTTATCTACGCTTCACTCCGGATCTAGACCACCATAGGCTGAAAGTTCAGTCAGCAAACGGAGTATCACTGAACTTTCGTTGCCTTTACTAAACAGGACAAGATCTGCTAACAGATAAGATTAAGTCCGTGGTCCGGTCTAGTATAACATTAAAACAAGATTTATTTCTATTGCGAACCACTCCGGAAGTCGTGTTATTCCTCCGTACTGTCACTACGTGGAAATAAGCTGCCGTGGATAAAGAATTATGATCTAGCCTGCGGATTGCAGTCTTATAAAATATCATACTAAAATTTTATGTCAGCGTACTTAGGAAACTATCACAAAACCGATCTGTCTAAGCTTTTTTTAACTGCCCGTTATGAATATTTAATCGACTAGTTCAACGGGCAGAGCTGCGAAGTCCACGAGTTGTGCTCGATACATTTTGGCAAGCTATCTATCGTAGCGAGCATACTACCATCTACCACTTCTGCCACTAGAAGTTGTTTTTAAAATCTGAGCAAATATCAGATACTCAGGTAATAGGTGACCCGCGAACGAAATGGTATACGAAATCGACGGTGTACCTAAACTGTATGTGGGTGCAGAAGCAGGTTTCAAAGGGTAGGACAGCTCCAAGCACACCCATACACGCGGCGTAGCTAAACTATAGTTGATGTACAGACTCTATGAAAATATAAAGTGCCGGTTGATATTGCTGAACTGTAGAACAAGTTTTAAGTACACAAATTAAAATTCCAGTGTCTAGAGCCCTTTCACTTATGCTACGTTGCGAAAAGGAACATTACCGGAGTCTTTTAGGTTCGGGATGCTAAACGTTAGTGGGGACATGTCCTACTAGCGTGTACAAATGCTTCATATAGAGATTTTTTTTCACAGTTCAATAGCAATGTAAAGAGAAACAAGGTACGGATTATATAAATAGTTGGTTAAAATGGCATATTTTTCTGTATACCAAATAAAATCCTCCACAGGTTGTTGTTGGCAGAGCGCATATGAAGATGAAGGCGAGGACCCCGGCGACGAAGATTTCTCGATGTTTTCTTAATAGATCAGGATACTCGTCACATAGGCCTGTTAACATCGCTTCCAACCCTCCGAACTTCAACGCAAGATACAAAAGATACGACAGAAATAAATGTCTGGATGTCGTTGCTTTTATTTAAATGGCGGTCTACAGTTAGCTAACAGATAGCGTTTCACTTATATTTTACGAAGTGACTGCTTACCGTGCTGTCAAGTCCGAGGGTAATCAGCATAAGGAAGAACATGACGCTCCATAATGGCGAGTAAAGGAGTGTTGAGATTGCCTAAAACGAACAAATGGCGCCGGTGAACAGTAGGGACATCAGAGGAGATATATTATCGTCGAATCAATACTACTATATATTAATTTCGGTAGGTTTCCGGCAAAAGCTTGCCTTTCTAACATTCTGGAATAGTTCAATTTAATTCGTTCGGCTAAACTTACCTCCGTGCTACATTTCTAAGCTCCGTTAATGTGCGATTTATGTGTATGTTTACGACATAATTTTAATTCATATTACTTGTCTTCAGGCGAAGCGCCCACAAGTCGTACTACTGAAATAAGTAACACGACATAAAGTTTCGACCCTAAACCCCCAAATAAATTACCAGCTTCCGATGAATTGCGATTTAACCTTGCTTGATTTGGATCAGTGTTAATGTATATAAAGTCTATATTTCAATTACCTGAGGGTAAACGATGAACACGAGCCCTGGTCCAGTGGCAGCGACGCTACTAATATCTCTGCCCAACATTTTCGCCATATAACCGAGGAACGAAAAGATAACCAATCTGTTCAATAGATGATTCGTCAAACGACTGCATTAGTGGGGAATAGTGGCTTCTCTGTATGGCTAGCAAATTCGTGCTGGCTAAATGGTTTGATATTCACCTAGAACAGTAACTAGAGAGGTTGGATCATGCTCAGAGGGTACAGGTACCCCATTGCTTACACACCCGGCGACGAAGCTGGTGCCACAGTTAATACAGGATGTGAGCAAAGCATCCCGATAACAGTTGTTATGAAATCGATTATACGATGATAGGGCCAGCAATGTTCCAAACCCAGGTCCCAGCGAGAAGAAGATCTGTGTTGCTGCGTCCACCCACACCTCGCGCTCCTGCAGCTTGGTCCAATCAGGCCACAGATAATACGCAATTCCTGCAATGATCAGAGAAAATCAGTAGTTGCTTCTGTACTACTCGGATGCGTCAGGAGATGTATGCACATTGTTATATGAGTCTGATTTGTATTGATTAACTTGATCTCCGATTAAAACTTTTTTACGCTAACCGAAGAAGAAGAAGAAGAAGAAGCCGGTGTCCTTCTAAATTATGTCAGGCTTATTCGAAGATACTGAAGCAGATGAGTAGAATCGTATATTCGATATCTGCATCGACATTCTGAACGTGAATAAAAATCAGACTACCCAGAGTGAAAGTTACCACCATTTACAAGCTACACTGACACGTACCGTCATAAGCCCCATCGAGGGTGACTCCTTTAATAAGTAGAGCAAGCAGAACAACGTATGGAGCAATAGCCGTGATATAGACCGCCTGCGAAAAGAAGATACATGTATTAAAATTCAATGTTAAATTCACTAAAAAGCTGCTTAGGAGCATCAGGGTCATCTATCTCCCTTCGCTACAACGAACACATGGTTATTTAGATATAGAGGCAAGCCAGACTAACCGCTTGCGTTGAGGTAAGCATGACCGATGCATTACAACAACGCGTTAACGTTCACTCCGTCAGATATGCAAGATCCGCACTAAAGGCTTTTTCCTTTTCCTAGAGTAAAAGAAACTTCAATAATAATAATAATAATAATAATAATAGCGAAGAAGACCTAGCAGAGAGGCTTTTATTTAAGTCAGAAATAGCTGCTTAGTTTTGTTTCGACTGTTCTGAGAACAAATCGACTTCGTGAGGTGCACAGATCAATCGGGCAACGACATTCATCGCATCGAAATAAAGTAGCATGCTAGTGAATCATGCCGTCTGATAGCGCGTAAATGTAAAAGATTTCACGAACTACGCGACCGTATATTGATTTCAAATTCTATTGCTTGTCTATGTAGTAGATGTACGTAGTCTTCGCTTTCGAAATAACCGATTTATGCAAACAGTTAAGCTTGCGTAAATCTAGAACATCGTTGACGATGGCGATCGAAGTAGGGAGAAAAAGTTCGAAGTATTTTACAGCGCCTTTATACTGATGCGTACATTACTCGGTATGACGTTCAGCTTACTAATTAAAAGGTAATGATTTATATGGTTAGCAGCAAACTCACTTTCCCGGTTGATTTCACGCCTTTCCAGAGGGCTAGGTAAACGAGCCCAAAGACCAGTAGCAAACAGCCCGCAATGGGCGCCCTGATAGGGCCCATTTCACCCAACCCTGGCGACTTGTGCATCTCCAGAACATGACGTCTGTAACAAAAATATTACTAAGCAAGTGTATAAATACCTTTCGAGTATTTGAATGTATACGGCGGAGTTGCTATACCCTAGCACCAACAACGAAATATATTCATTTTATAACGAGATAAAAGGTAAGATCTGAGATAATTAACCGTTCGATTTAGGCTGCTTACTCGAAGTACTCTTCCGCCGGGCTAACTTTTTCTTTTATAACCCCAGTTGAGTTAGGATTTTCTTCAGTGGTCCTTCCTCCAAGCTCGGAACATTCAGGCGTATTCCAGGGATTATTGCAAGATGTCCACGGTAATATCGGTGTGAATGAAGCCTGCAAAATCCAAAATGACGTAAGAAGGTATCATTTATATGTTGCTAATAATGATCAGTTTTAACTTTAAACTTCGTTTCTATTAACTCTTATGAAATTCCCCGATATCGCTTAATTATAGTAATTAAAAAAAATTGACTGGATATTACTAAGTGGTGTCTAACTCGCATGTATTGGTTTGAACAGGCTGTTGTCCTGCAACGAACTTTTCAGCAACGGTAGCAGCGTTTCAGGAACAATACCAGCATAACCTTTATTGAAATTTAGGTGGTCCGCTTTGCTACGGAGAAGCTAGAGAATTAACATGCATCATGCATCCTGTTTCTCAATGTTCAGTATATTCTACCTGTAGATAGTATACAGCCCACGCAATGATCGTATTATAGTACATGGCCATATAGATGTCGATGACACAGATCGCGTAGCCGATGCCTGTAAAACGGCCACAAACTTATATAAGATGTAACGCTTATCGTTGTATCTTATGATAGCGCATACGATTAGTTAATATGGTTATTTAGCTAATCAAGTTGGTCTTAGTCTCGTTTTATCTAGCCTTTTATTGAACCAGGTACCGATTTTCAGTCATACCGTGCTTACATATTTTCCTTCGGTAAACCAAATGAATCTACATCTACCATGTTCAATCAATAATTTGTCCACCTTTGAAAACAGGTGCAATATACTGCCAAATGGTGAGGCATCCAGATCGGTGATATTGGCCTAACGCAAGCTCGAGGTAGAAGAGTGGAAGACCGCCAAATAGCAGCATTATTAAATACGGCACTAAAAACGCACCTGAAAGTTAACGATTCGTAAACGACCATCAAAAAGTTGTTAAACCAAGATTATATTACTTGTTACTCTGTTTTGTCTCTAGAACGTAAATGTCTAAAACTTTTATACTATTCAAATAAATATCTCAAATTTAGCGCATGAGGTGATCTCTTCGAAGGCTGTATTCTTGACGACGCTTTTGCTGGCAAACAAAGCTAAGGATATTCAATATTATTTTGTGTACAGGTAATCTTTCTCAGTACAATTATACAGTAGAAGCACAACAGAAGCGGAGCTGTGTTTAGATTCATATGAGACGGCGCCTGAATCAGAGCGGAACTCGTGCCACCTGCTGTTGTGCTTGTTCCTGAAATAGTCTGAAAGCGATTCCAGTTGCCGCCATGCTAAACAAGCTCGTGCGAATCATTCCGGGCAGCACGAAACGTTCGCGGAAGGGGGTGCCCTACTGGCAACTGTTTCGTAAGCTGCGAAATAACATATCAAAGCTCTGCCCGACAGCCTTTAAGATCATCACGGCATCAACATCATGAAGGACGCAAGTTCAATGTAGACAGTTTCGTCACTAGGGAACCTTTGCAAGCTTTCTGTAAGAACAGAACGGTCTTCTGAAAATAGAAATCGGAGATTCGTTTGTTAAGTAGCCAAAATGAATAATGCTATTGGTGATTACATAAGGGATTAATTAAAACCGAACGGAAAAAGGGCAGACGATCTTTTCGAATTCAAACTTTTAATTTTGTTTTCATCAAATATGATGATTTTAGATGTCGCTGTAAATGAACATTATGGGGAAGTTTAAAGCAAATAACTACGCACCCCCCGAAGTTAGCTGCCGGGACAGGCAATATGCTTATATTAGAGAACCTATAGGACACCAACCAAAGAGCTAATACTTACATATATCGAGTTGTTTTTTTAATTATGAAATTTAGGTTGTTTTCATATTCGTCACACTTTTAGGCGCGTGGAATAAGCTCGATACCTTATACAGTAACGCGATACGCTATTCGATTCCCAAATTGCCATGGTACAATCGGTAACCCTATGGCTATTGTCACAGTCAAGTGATTAGTATGTATAAATGGCTATAAACGTCGGTGGTTCGAAGCTTGACGGGTACTTTTACGGTCTTGTTACAAATTGGGCGCTACCTTTCAACGAAAACACTAGTGTTCGATTCGTAACGCGGCCCGACCGCTTCTATGGCTTACAAGCCCATAGCATCTATATAGAGAACATGCTAATTTTGGGCGAACTATTGCCGATCCATACTGCACAGCCTCCGGCCCAATCCCCTAACAAGGCTGTAGAATAGATACATACAGACACATATATTGTGTACGTGTGTACCCTTACCCCTTATGTCTAAGCAAAGTGGAGTAACTGACTGTAGTATTAGATGAAGCAACGCTTATCTAAGGTAGTGTTACAAATAAGACCCGACGAATGTATTTATCACAAGGGAAAAAGCTATACATCTATTTCTATATTTTTCTATATGCTTTCGAGACGCATTTACTTCTGGCTGATATCCTTAAACGTCTAAGACAATTTTACAGTGGTAAAGATCCTTTAAGGTTTTTTCTATACTTAATTAGTACAAATTATATCTAATTAGGGATTTATTAAAACTCTAGTTAATTGTCATATTTGCCCGATAGGCCCATTTATGGTATGACGCACTTTTTGCAATGAAGTATCAGTGATTCGCAAATTTCATTGAGTGACAACATTCTATCCAAGACGCCCTGTGCGAGACTGATACGAAGCGCCTTTGAAAGTTGTATCGATTTGCCTGAGCGGTTTCGCCGTCAAAACTGCTAGGTAAATTTGATAAATCTGTAGGGCTTTGCGGGACGGATTTAGAAAAGGCCAGATATGCGTCTTGTCCCTAGAGCATGAATTCTAGGACCAGAGTAATAGGAAACGAGGACGCGGAATAATAAGATATTGCTTCTTGTCCAGCCCGATAATCGAAGCATCTAATTCGGCTGCCTGGATCAAAATCTTAAACTCCCGATCTTGTGCAGAAATAATATCTAACCGCTGCTAGTATAATATGTGAAGATTAGATTTCGTCTTTTACAGAGGCTACTCGATGGAAAATGAGGTGTACGGGTCAAATTTGATTCAACGAGACCGCTGATAGCTTGGAAGGTCTTAGAGAGAAACTGTACCGCTGTGTCCATCGAAAGCCCCATCATTTTGTGTCCTAAAGGAGCGAAGAATCAGTCATTAGTTTGTGGGAGAAAGAATTCTATGTCATTGTCTTATATAGTCCCGCAAGGTGTTGTACACGAGCCTGAGATAGGGCCACATAGCCTGTTCATGATCTTTTTTGTAAATAAGTCTGCCATCTGGAGAAACTAAAAGAAAAACTCTTGTCAGCTCTTGAAAAACTGCTGTGAATTTTACGATCACTTAGAACTAAGCTTTCTGTGTCAAAGATTTGTCAACCGTAGGTTTTCACGAAGCTCTGCTTAGTTGTTTAAAGTTTAGTTTTGAATGGCCCAAATACTGGCATAATAGGGGATTAAATTTTGTCTAAGAAGTATAGAAAAATGATTGCGGTGAAAAGTAGGCAGCTATCGTAAGTGCCGATGATTTCTATATAATGTATTGCATAGGTGATAGGTTGATGATAAAATAATATGATTGTAATTAACCAGAACGTGACACATCCGTGACGCGTTGATTCTATAGTTCCGATGATGCCTTACGTAAAATGGCGTCACAGCCGCACGTGTTGATTGGAATAACGGAGGGCACAGTAAGCCTAAGGATACAATGCGTTGGCCCGTCTTGAGACGTTCAGTAGCTTAAGCCGTACTCTGATGTGGCTTAATTTTCTTAAATTATCAATCGACGACCCCCTATTTCATACATGTTCGAAATACAATAGTCCAAGGTCAACTTAATTCATACAGTCGAAAAGGGCCATGTAATATTTATCTCATTACGCGGTCACCTGCGTCGAGAGTTCTCCATCTGCTTCTGGAAAGTGTGACCTTAGAGCAAAATATAGTTGCTGAAAAACCTTGGAGCTGAAAAATAGGTCGATTATTCTATTTTGATAGTTCGATAAACGTTTTATATTATATAAAGTTATATATGAGATTGATGTGTTAATTGCAAAAGAATCTATATATATATCTCATGCTACAGATATTCAAAATCGTTATCATTTTTATTGAGACACACATTTCAATTATGGTATTGAGTTGCATTGTAGTTCTACTGCTAACCTAAACTTTTCAATAGCTTTTTGGCATTTTTTCAAAGTATCTGTACCAGAAAAGACAGACGGCGTCAGGCTTGGACATTGAGTAGAGTACTCTATGAGGCCTTTTCGGCCAACGTATGTGCTTATGGAGTTTCCATCAGGATATGCCTTCACATCGTGCGCAGGTATTTAGTTTCAGCGGAAATGAAACTGACCATTTTCAATAGTTTTCCACTGAATACGTGGTAGATTCTTGTACTAGAACTATTTATTGTACAATCAAAAAGAAAAGGCCGAATTACTCCTTTGCTTGAAACGCTGCACCGTACTTTAACTCCTGGAATATTGACACGGCATCCTTGCGTGACAAATAGATCTACAGTTGTCCAGTAAATATAACTGAATCCCTCCGATACTGTGCTTCCTGCATATAATTTCTCAAGTGTTATTAGTAAAGTTAGTTTTTTCGGTTACAATTATCTTCTTTGGTAGCAGTCAGAACTGTTGGGCCTTTTCATGTCTCAAAGTACAATGGACCCTCGATCTGCTAATGCTGAGCTCACGATTTGATTGTCCTATAGACTTCATGGATGTTTTGTCCTCGTTGGTTTTTTGGAGAAAATAAAAATTCTGAACGATTCGACCCATTTCAAACTTGTCTTTATCCCACTAGCGGTAAGTCATAAAAGGAAACTGGCAAAAAAAACTGATGAGGCAATGGTAATCGACCTTTAACACAAACCCATAGTGACAATCATGTATTCCCATCTAATACAATTCCACCCACTTGATTATCTTCTTAGTGAAGTGCATCAGGTATCATATACAAATGCAACGAGATCTAATCTCTGACTGGCCAGTGACGTTCGTTCCCATCAATGCATACAGATATGAACGAATAGGACCGCAGCTGATTCAAGCAGCTGACTGTTCTGTGCTCCGTCAAAAAAAATATATTCACCCGAAAAATTAAGTACAAGATCGGTTAAGAGATCTTTTTAAAATAGCTAACAATCGAACATTCTGTTATTACGCACAGTAACGTATCGTTACGTAGCTATATAAACATAAAACATTATTAGTACAAATACTCTATGGATGGAGGTGAAATTGTTTATAGTGCTATCTTTAGCTTGACATCATATGAACTATGCACGTATCACGCACGTGCTCGACTAGTAGAAGTTGAACGTTTAGAAAAGTTTGTGGATAAACTCATTGTCAAGCAATAAAATTGTTCCGAAATGTATTGAATTGTAATTGTAACGTTTGCACGTTTATCTCAATGTAAGGGTATGGTCGTAAGTAATAGCTCGGAATAGTTTATCTATTTTGGCGCACTAATAAACAATATCCTATATAGCGAAAAGCGGCCTGTAAGCAAAAGTAAAAATTAATTTGTTAACAGCCACCTAAATCACAACAGGTTGTTGTTCACTGTTTCAGAAATACCAACGTAACGACCTCAAAAATATAAAAGAAATCACATACCTCCACCGTTTCTATAGCAAATGTACGGAAACCGCCACACATTTCCCAGGTCAACGGCAAAGCCGATCACGGCTAACAAGAACTCAGTCTTCGAGTCCCACCGCTCTCGGCCCACCTATAGAAGAACAAATTACGTGTTAGATATATTGTGACTCCGCGTATATTTCATGAAGTTGAATGTGTGTGTGTGTGTGTGTGTGTGCGTGCCGTTTTTACTGCTAACTTAACGCCGACTCCTCAGTTTTCGCAAACCCGACTGACGAATTCGACAGCAAGCCTTTTTAATAACAGGTGGAACAAACGAGGATGATTTTTTTCCTCGAACTCATTGTGCAGTCATCCGTGCGTGATTACTATATATGGGCGCAGTTGACCAGGCTGGGTCTCTGCTGGCGCTTGAACGATACCCTACGGATAGCTAAAGTTGCTTCGTTGGGCGTTATCATGTTTATAAAATTTCGTCTTGTCAGCCCGCGTGAAAATACGGTTTTACAATCGAACAGATTACCATTGAGAATGAGTAAAAATATATTGAGTCTGAGAACCGTTCTTTAGCATTGTTTTAAATCTCTTTACACCATATAGAAATCTATGCCGATAAGAACTTATTTGATATTGGCAAAGTGCCAGATCGCTGCGCTATTTCCCAGTACAAAATTATCTAAACCTATGACCATTTTTCGAAATTCTTAGCTGGCAGATAATATCGCGGATTTGAAGTAGGCGCGGGATCTTTTTCAAATACGCTATTCAAATATTGGCACCATTGAGGAATACCGATTTGCGAAAAATGTTGGGAACGGATGATCGCTAAGTAACAATCGACTTAATATCATGAGATATACAAATAAAATAGATCTGAGTGTACACATATATAGACCCTTGTTAACATTATTAAGACTTTTAGTTCACATTGAAATTGAAAATTGATCAAAGATGGCTGCATAGCCCGGAATGAGATCTGCAGCATCCAGTTTAATGATACTTACAAATGGATCCCATTCCATGATGTCCTCGCAAACCAGACAATAGCATCTGTGGACTGTGAAGCAGTCGCTCTGCGTCGGCCAGTAAACACCCTAAGCTGTTTGGGTGGGTATAATAATATATTTTACTTTTTCATTGATTTTGGGTGCTTAACTTTTCCCATATTATTTGAATACGGTAAGCAGAAGTTTATGCGATTTTCAAATTGATGATTTTCAGTCTAGTAATAACTTTTACGTATTGTCAGTAGTGACCGCCGCTATTGGTGCCTTCTCGAATCTTCTTTCAACGTGCGCCGTAAAACGCCTCCCAAATGTTGATTGGTTTGCGCTGAAGTATCCGAAATAGTTAATTGTTTAGGAGCGTTTTACGGCCAGGCTAAGCTAACCAGTGCGTACAAGCCTGTTTTCTGTCCTAAACTGCACTTTTCCGTATTTTACGATATCATAAAGGCAAAGAATCATCTTCATGAAACAACGTTCCATCATTCGTGCTGTGACGACGCTGATGAGAAGCGAGATTAATCATAGATTTAGATTGTTTTCTTGAGAGAATCCTGTCGTCTATTTTTTCAGTTACCCGATTTTCTCGATGAGGAAATTTTTTTAACAGCTCTAGCATTTTGAAGATCTTACAAGTCGTCACCATCGATCTATCGTCGTGGAAGTCATATTATATGTCAGGAAGAACACTGTAATAATCCAGACAAGATTTCAGACACCTGTAGAGAATGCTTGACAAACGTCTGCAGACGCGACTGTTCTTTGTAATCCGTTTCTGTGCTCCTAAATCGTGTGCGTCTTTTTTGTTTTTAGGGATAAGAATCATTATACATCTCCCCCAAACTGGTGGAACTCTACCTTCATCCAAGCAGGCGTTAAACAAGCTTGTCGGACAATATCGAAACACCATCGCCTCTTTGATGTGTTCTTCATGAATTTCGTCTGCCCCGCCTGCTTTCTGCTGGGGCAGTCTGAAGATGGCATTGACGATTTTAGCCACCGAAACTGCCCCTTCGAGGCCGTCATCTACTCACAGGCAGTCAGCATGAGTGGTAGATAGACAACTCCATCTAGATCGTATTGTATGAATCTCTTCGAAATTAGCTTGGAGTAGGCTTGACTAAGTAATTTGGTCTCTCGAATATTGGGTATCAGAATCTGATACAATATAATAACATATAGGTTTTCAAGAAGTTTTACGTTCTTGAGGTCACTTTCGTAATACGATTTTTTACCTTCTTAGAAAAGAAGTGGTTAGACGCAAGGCTTCGTATATATTTTTTTTTTTATCTGAGGTAAAACGTGCTTCGTCATTGAATATTTTTTAATTCCACCATGGCCAAGTCGATGGGGTCGTTTAGAGACACCAATACAAGGAACAATTTACCCTTTATTGATTTTTTTTGTTTGTCACTAAAAACTGTTATTAATATTGTGTTGATATAAATGTTTAATTTCTAGTCTATAGAACGATATTCAGCTTGAGGCCTTTTATATAATACACTCTGTGCTATCAGACATTCCGCTGTACCGTACGTACTTGCACGAATGAACAGAAATAAACGCTATGTACGACTTAATATAACAAACCATGGCTATAGCATGGCCGTATCAACAGACGAACACCTAATGACAGATGGCGTCATCTAACAAACAAAGAGGTAGGTGAACATTTGAAGTCAATGGGAGAGACGCACAAAAAAGTCCATTGAGTTTGTAGTATAATCAATGAAGTATCGGTTCAGTGCAGTACCCTTAAGGGAAAACGTTATTTCCATACTGTTCCAAATGGTTCCAAATGGATAATTTTCCTAATAACCTGAAAGGATATTTTTAGACTTCCGCCGCGGAGGATACGGAAGGCTCGAATGAAGTTATTTTTAGCCTTCAAGCTTACAATAATGGTATATGACATTTTGCGATCTTCACTTATTTTAAGAAGGATTAGGTGTATGTGCCGGGTTTCACCACGGAAGTGCATCACATCTTAATACCTTGGGTCATAAGAAGACTCCAGGACGAGAAAGAACATAACGTAACCATTCAAATAACTACCTCAACTGAGGTGTTATTAGGATTCGTCAATCAAAATAAGACGATGGAGTTGTAAAATGAATTTATTTACTGAGTGCACTGAATCAGTGAGGAACAGCTACTTCCCGTCTAAGTAAATGTACATTATTTAGCGAAAAACTTCCAGTTCAATGATAGAACACATCGCGCCAAACCCCATTATTTCTTAGTGCCACATAATACAATTATGAAATCACAGAAAACTCCATTCAAAAGATCACTGAGGGAAATACATGATAACTTTTCGTCTGAGCTATAATAGTTTCATTCATAAGGACTTGCCTTCCAAATATATTCTAGCTAGTGTCTTTGCTTAGTCTAAAGTCCGTAGGAATCGGACGACACACAGAAAGTATGTCTAATAAATAAAAATCATAATGTGTTATTTAACGCTAACTGTACGATAAAAACGTTTTTAAGATTTTTCAGCATTGGCTACGCCAATAGGTGCTATTGACATAACACGATAGGATTTAAAGTATATGTGCTAATTTGTTATTCAAATCAATCTACTTATTAGTCTTCCCTCGGAGTAGCTGATTAAGTCGGCTGATGCGGGTTGTATTTTCTTTAAATATATAACATTTTGTTCAGGAAAATTAAGATGGCCTTCACAAGGATTCCCTATCTATATTCTATTTACGTTTAAACTTACCGAATGATTCCCGTTAATTTTTTAAAGTACAAAAAACCATGATGGATCTAAGCCACGGCCTCGGCGACAATGGAACCTTCGAAGACTCAGTCTTCTTCATTTCTACAACAAATCGCTGGCCAGGCGAACTACATACTAGGAAGCACACGCAGTTCAAGGCTTATCCTCCTAATTCTCAGGTTACTCGATGGCATAGCACAAACAACCCTTAGTCAACAAGGGCGCTACCTTTACCTGTAGATTCTAATTTTGCCGAGTTTTTGAAAGAAACGGATGTTACCGATTCGCTATTATGAAAACAATCATGAATCGACGTACTTAATAGTGCGTAAAATCTGAAGTAATGGAGTGTGCTCTTAAAAATGTTAGTGACCTATTTTCTTAAAATAAGGATAGAGCGTAACGCTTTGCTATATGCCTTCAATATTTGCACTTCGCGCTTCAGAGTGATTAGATTTTACTTCACTGGAACCCTGCGTCCCCAGTGACTTTGTGCTGTGTTAAATTCAATGTGCCTCGAATCAAATCCGTTCGCGCCTCGAACGATTACTGTAATTAACTAATACCTAACGAGAACGATTTCAATTTTACATTTGTTGCATCCGTTAATTTAGCTAGAAGAAAACGCTAGCCCTATCGGCAGCAACGTTGCGTAGAAAGGACGATCAAGCCATGATACAACTTGCGTTGTTTTCATATTGATGCTATCTTCTGCTAGCTATATGTCAACCGGGTTATTGTTTCTAGAGGCTGTTTGTCGCCGCACGGCCAGAGGGTCAATGTGAAATCATGAGCATTTCGACTTTCTGTGTTTAGTACTTTGTGGGCCTCAACGAAGAATACGACTCTGAATATGACGCAGTCCATTTATGTGTTTTGATTCGACGGAGACAGCCGATATTCGGCAATCACCATCATCACGGTAACAATACCCACCATCGACAGTCTCACCACTATGGCCTTGTCCATTTGTAATATCTCACTGTTTATCATACAATCAGCTCTGCTCCTGCGCACTTCAACTTCAACGAAGCGTTTCCGTTTTCTTAACTAGGTCACTTAGTTTAAGCTTAAAATACGCTATTTTTATGATGAGCTTATACCAATATATTCCAAAATGGGTGAATTAAAAACGGCACAAGCGGCTTCCGCTGAAATCATTCCTGATCAACAAATGTGCAATATTATTTACTATATAGGTAAAACGAAGGTATGCCTCGTTGCAATAAGTTCCAGTCCGCGTTTTCATATATCGTACGTAGCCTAACCTCGAGGTGCTAATGGAGCACGTGTTAGCTTCTCTAGTACTTCTAACAAATACCGTCGTTTGCAGACAATTCGCGACTGATCAATATGGCTAGCAGATAAGTTGAGAGTTTTCTGGCTCCAGGTATTACGCCGAATGCGCTTCTGACGTTGATAAGGAAATTCTAACAGTTATAAGGATTCATTCAAATCGATCAGTACGGGAAACGTCATCTTCTTTTATTGCTACTTTGAGAAAATTCCAATTGGCTTAAACGTCACTAAAGCTAGAACGGATCACCTTGTAGTAGCGGCACAGTTTGAACACTATAAATCTTTACATTAAACATTAAGCGCTACATTTAAGCGATCACGAGTAGTGAAAGTTAACTTTCCAAAACGAGATTTTCCTCTGACGAAATAATGAAATCAAGTGCACGTTATTGCGTCCTGGCACAATAAATCAACCGGATGAAATATTGCATCATCGATAAGAAAACATTTTTCTGTTATTTTCACCTTTTCAAGTAAGCTATGGGTTCCGATGCAATCAAGACAGCGCCTACTCTTAGAATCACAGTAGAGACTTTTGCCATATATTATACGTTTACCCTAAGAAATAAGCTAGAGTACTTTTAATTGTAATTTGTCGCCCTAATTAAGGCCTTTATTTTCAGTAGTAGTACTCGTGCAAATAAGTTTGTCGAACGTCTAAAGTTGTTTGGAAGCTGATTCACTTCGTCGGAGGTATTCCTGCTTTCCCTGTTGAAAACGACCTGGCTACATAACTAGGAAACATCGGATCTGTGCTAGAGTAAGTTCTCTATAGATTTCAACTGCTAACTTTTGCCGGCTGAATGTTGTCACTTAGACGGGATATGGTACGCGTAACTGTTGTCGGAAATTCGTAATAAACGAGATAATATTCAGTAACCTCTTACCGTATGCGTCTGGTATTGTTACTGGTTGGTCGTACTCCTTTCAGCTTAATAATGTTTCAAAAAACGATGCTGACCTATGATGGCGGTATGTGTGCAAGTTAATAAAAAAAAAACAGACAAGACTTTTTGTTATCATTCTATCTATCTTTTGGCAAGTTACGTAAATGGTTCAGCTGTAAAAATGACCATTGCTTCACTGCTCCTTATAACCTGAAATAAGTACGATACCTTTGATGCCGCATGAACGCTCTTGTCAGCTGCTTGTTGGGTGGTAGTCATGATGAACGACTGAAGTTGTGACCGACCGTCGCGTGACGTGTGCAATAGAAATATCAACAAATAATTTACTTGACAGACAACTGTTACGTATGTGTATATGTAAACAGCTGCAGCTGATGACTGTGTTGGATTATTTTACACTACTTTTTTTTTGCATGGGCTGGTGAAGTAAGCTCTCATGAAGTCTTTCGCACTGCGTCGCTTTCCTGCTTAGTTCCAAATATTGTTGTTCATCTTGAAAGCGGCACCCAAATGGAACAAAATGTGCCAGCTGAATTATAATATGCTTCTGTTCACAACTTGACAAAACATTGCCAGCACCAAAGAGTGCAGTAATGCTGACCTGCGTTTTGGCACCAATGCCACCGCCATAAAGATCTGATTTCCGTTGAAAGATCTGCAGTTGTTTTTCAAGTGTCTTCAACGTGATTTAATCCTTGCTCACGCTCACAGCAGACGCAACTTTTGTCTGTTTAGAAACTTTTTTGAAGACTTTATAGATAGATATATTGCAAGGAGAATGAAGATACCTATAGCTTCGCTAAGGTAGACATTGTAGTAGACACCACGCCTGGTATATTGGGGAATCTTATAAATAAGGAAAAATTTATCGTTCATTGGCAGCTTGACGGTGTTGTCCTTTTGAAGCTCTTTGCTTTGTTCCGTACAGGTGAAAAAGGGCCGCTTTAGTCCTCCTTGCAGAGCCGTACTAAGTAGAAGCTTCGTCTGCCAGTCAAGGCTGAACTTGCAGCAGCTCAACGAGGTGGCACCCTCACCCGCTGGAAGTGGGAGCCGATGGACAGAACTTCGCGATGGAGCGAGAGGCCATCTGAAGGCAATCCACCTCGGAGGTCTTTCGACAAGAAGCCAGGCTACCTTGCTAGAAACCTAGTCCGGGCCCAAACCGGCTTAAATCCGTGATAGAGTCCATGCTCTTACTCTTAAGGCCCTGAGATACCATTAGCAGGTCGGGATAGCTTAATGACGAAAAGTGGAGACTGAGGAATACGGTAGCACAATATAATTACACAGAAACCATTTTTGTTTTCATGACTCATTCAAGTGCAACATACCATCCATATTCCGGCAATAACTTTTTTCTGGTGGTGATGACGGGAAAATGCCGACATTTCGCGGTATCTAGTGTTTGAATATCGTGGCTACCCAATGATTTGCTACTTTCTTTATCGATTTCGAGGTGAAAACATGCCACGTATCTTATCCACAGTGAGCTTCGCATATAGTCACAGCGGTAACGACAATATGTGAGCGTTACTCGTTATCATCTGAAGCGCCAAAAAAATAACAGGTGGTCGACCAGCCGTTGTGAAGAGCAAAAGACACTGAGTGAGTGTCTTTTCCTGATTTGGCCAATTATTGCACTTGTCAAGGTCCACCAAGATCCTTTGACGCGCCACATCTGCCTTCAGAAGGGAATTCGTAGTAAACGTGCTTTACTTCTGCTAGCGGTTGGCTAAGACGAGCTTCAGAGCTCCCATGATTTTTCTTAAGTAAGTTCCTAGTATGTCTAGCAGGAAATATTCTTTCCTATGGCTTCGAATTCTGCGCAACTTACATAAAACTAATTAAACGTGTTTTAGCTTTGCTCACATAAGACGGTCACTAGGATCTCAAAACGATTCTATAAATTGCAATGTATCAATAACAAACCAACCGTTATGAAGTGCCAATACAACAGAATGTTGAGATGTTTCCTCAAATTTACCGAGTGTATTCCGGTAGTATGGACATTTCTGCTGAAAAGACAATACCTGTCTAGGGACGGACCACAAGAGCATCGACACATTATTCCTGTGTTATTATTACTATAAGACGTCCATTCTTTTCTGTCATAGCATACGCTTTTTAAGCCTGATGAATATAAACATAGTCGCTTAAAAGGCTCCATTGAAGGTCCTCACGTGTGATCCTGCTTAGGAATATTAAAATTTGTAGATTTTTTTTTATAATTGTATATATGCTGTGCCCGTTTCCAGCTTGTGGCATTCCTTTATCGTTGTTGAGGGAGCTAGCTTTCTACCGCCGGGTTGTCTTGTTGCAGTACTTTTAATGAACATACATTTCTTGATTTGGGCCCGAATCCCCGTTACCCTGTCCTCGACCTGCACCGTCGACCCTTATTTTGCAGCCAATCTGCATCGGTAGGCGGAGAGCAGAAGCTGTAACCGTCTTGGCAAATCTGTCAGATTGTCAATCTCCTAGCGACCAATCGTAATTACCGACAAAGGGAGGCCTCTTAAAGCGTATCATATAGGAGATGTCTGCATCGACGAGATCTTATGTAGTCACGGCGAACAAGCACGGTAAGCAATATGGATTACATCTGCTCTGAGCAATATGATTATTATTGTACGTGCATGTTGCTAGAAATGCAGTAAGACAATCCAAGTTGACTGTAATTTTCTTGGGCCGCGCGGATTGAACTCATCGCAAGCCGAGTTATTATCAGCTCGTAAATAATGCAACCAAACGTCCCAGTAGAGCTTGGGCTATTATGGGTACTTCAAAGTAAAACATTTAGAAACTGAAGCCAAATATTCGTAGTCATCATTAATGCATCTTTTTTTTTTTTTTTTTTTTTTGTAAATGAAAGTAATTCGTGGTGTTTGAGACGATTCTGAGTCAATATTTTTTTTTGCCGAGTATTCTTATAAAAATAATATTTTGAAAAATAGGCCAATTATAAAATACAGCAAGTTCCTTCTTTAAGGCGCCAATTACAAACCTTTCGCTGGCAATAGACATGAAACAAAATGCCAGCAACATAACAAGCGTTGTCTAATGAAGACTGCACTCGATTCCATTGTGACGACTAGTGGCCAACAATTAGTTTTAAGATGGCTGTTGGCACACACGCAACATAAGGCAATCGCAATCCAGCCTATTACAGTATTATTACGATGGCTTTACGTTTAGCCCACAGTGCATGAGGGTATAATAATAGTTAAAGCTATTTTCTTTTTCAAGGAAATTTGAATTAACCCAGTAGATTCGGAATTCCGTTACTGTTGCAACTATGCAAACTAACCCCAATCGTTTTCTAAAGAAAGGGGATTTTCCCCTGTTGAAGCACATTGTCTGTGTGGCCTTTTGAATTTTGACAAAAAAAGCAACAATATTTCGAATAGGCTATTAAAGTTGATTAATTAGAACCGTGAAGTTTATAACGTGAATGTGACTGTTAATCGATTACATTTGAAATGCAAACGAAAATTGTCTCGGTAGCTTAAAAAATGCTTAGTATCAACATAGAGATGGCGTTACTTGTCAAAAATATCCTGATGATATAATCACAGCCGCATCTAAAAATGCCCGCGAAAATTTCAACTATATCGGATGTTCAGCTGTTATCCAATAGCCAGTAGATTTTAGAAAGAGACATGCTGCTTCATCAAGCAAATATACTGCTCCTAACGTAAAGGATCGCCATAACAAAAAAATTACGAATCGGAGGCTATTTTCACCGAATGAAAAAGCCACCACAATTGTGAACGCATGCTTTTCATCCCCAGATGCCAGCTACTATTTGAACGGAAACGGTAGCGTCGTTAAAAAAGTATAGATTTACAGAACGACTATATTGAGAACTGTAATAGCATTTGACCAAAAAAGAGTTGGTTCTGCCCTAGGTTTAAAACTTTTTAGGCTGCTCACGTAATTTAATAAATTAAAAAATTAAAGACCTTTATATTTTCTATTCTAAGGTTTTATGAAGAATAAATAGCCTCAAACACGCAACCTCCCAAAAACAAATGTGACCAATTGTAATTAAGCTGACAGGTCGGACGAACAGATCCTGTATCACGGCAACATTCGTATCTAGACACGTGTTCTCCTGTTCACGCACGCTTCCCTAGTTTCGACTGTATTATTACTAAATCCCTGCCAATTTCTCACGTCGTCCTGGTTTCAAATTAAGTTCGACCCGAAACGTCTAGCGGGGTGCTGTGAGCAACTACGAAAACTAAACTTATAACCGAGAAGTGCACGCATTAGATATATAACAAGAAAAAGACCAAACGGAGATAGATAGTTTGAAGCATCGAGCCGAAACTCACCATCTGCTGATCCATTAATCAAGCGACCTAATTTTTTTACATTTATGTACATATATTTGGTAAAGGGCCGTATTAAACAAATGAGCAGAAGGTTATCTATACGATTTGGATGGCGGGCCGATTTGTCGTTCCAAGCACCTTTCAGTTTTGTTCATTGAAGTTTTTGCGGAAATGAATTAGTAAATAGTTTAGCAGAATTCTCTCGTACAATCAAATCTAGCGGCGTTCCAACTTTCCCAGCTACAATAATATAGCAACAACCCATACATTTAAGCGTCTCCGCTGCGAACATTTTCACAGCACGTACTTGAATAGATTCTGTTCGAACCTATATACACTGAAATTATGAGCGAGGAATAGGTGCTTTTATCGGCTTAAGTGGCGAAATTTTAGAAGATGCTTTAACGTCACAAGCGATGCCAACAAAACAATTAAAACAAATCTGAATTAGATTCAGTAAGATCATAGCCTTTAATGCGCGTCCTTCTGGAGGGGTTGACCGAACTCTACAAAAAGGATTCAGCAGTCGGTGAATAGCGTAATACATGAATATACAACGAAGCGGAGCAAACAGAAGCGTTTTTCTATAGAAAAACAGAGCTGCAAGAAAGGAAGATGCAGGCTCGTTGAAGCTGCTCGAACGAAAAATGGAGGTCCATATAGGTCTCCCGGGAAAAGGGCATCGTACATTTCTTCTTTCTTATCAGTTCCTATCTTGGGTCGACTGAGCCTGGGCTTGCCAGCAGCTATTTGGCCTATCTAGCTGAAGATTTTTTCATATATACCTGATAGACCCGAATGACTGTCTGAAGCTTACCTACGCTAGGCATATACAGACATTATATAGAAGCTGGCCCAAGCCCGTCGCTCGGCTTATCGCAGATAAGAACGGAGAAGGAGTCAAACTGCTTTTCTACTGCATCTGCATATCGCTCATAACGGCTAATTCACAAAGCGCTCCCCTTTGATTTTTCACCAAGGGTAACCCGTCTAAGCACATACTATATCTAGTGAGGCGGTGAATCGAGTTCAAGGTGTCCACTCTTTCATTTAGCGCTCACAGCATAACCTAGTTCTACACCTAGTCGTCTAAAATGTGTCGAAGCCTATCTATTTTACCATAATCCAAGCATTAGCATTGTGACGTGTCGATACATAACAGCGCATATGTTACTGTATTGAGATCTTCACGAGAGCAGGAGGAAAAGCTAAGTTTGTGATCTGCTGTTGAAGTCTCGCGAACAGCGACTTCGCTCGTTTGATAACGGACAATTTGGACCTAACTGAATTCCGTTGTGTTAGGCAGGCATGCTCTAGCCACAAGTGCGACTCATTCCTGGACTGCAAAAAACTACTCAATGACTTCACTAGCTCGAAAGGAAATCATTAACGCAGCAATGTAGATTCGCGAGTGCGTCTGAATGGAGTGAAAGAGATATAATATTCTAGTAGAATTTAAGGTGGTCCAAAACAATCGATTATTTGATTCAAGTATCGTAAAAACATCAACCACCGAAATAACTCTCTTATCTTATATAAGAAGCCTCGCTTCCTTTCCTCGTTTAAAGTAAATGTGTTTTTTGACGTTTTGACCAAACATTTATGACCACAAACCTTATACTTGGGTTAAATATCTTTTATCTAGAAACTCCTTAAATCTTCTTGCCTACCTCATACACGGACTCATTGGACAGTATTGGCCCCTTTATGTAAAGCGAAATTCAAGAATTAGCACTCAAATGTAATCGGGTTCAGCCTGCATTATACTACTATTCTTACAATTTAATTAAAAATTATTTTTATTTATACAGCGAGCAGCTGTATTATACACTATACTAGTTAGTAAAAGAAACACAAAATAGAGAATGATTAATAAAATAATAAAGAGACGCTGAATTTTGCTTATTGAAGACAGAATAATAATGTATCTTCTTATAAGAGTATTCACGCATGTATCATGTAGGCTTCAACTGAATTATTTCGAAACGCCTTTGGGTCGGAACGCGCAAGAGATCCCAAAGTGTCCCGAAGTTCAGTCATCCAGACCACCCCCTTGCAGAGCAATTTGTGGGAAGCCTTTCATTCGCTTAGCTTGTACACGATACATGAACTTGAAAAGTCGTACTTGCAACAAAAAGATATAATCAAAACACGGTAACGAGAAAATCAGTCGTCAAGGGCGCAGGTTTTTGCCAGCCAGCCAGCCAGCCATTTTGCTCATTGTTAAGTTGATCGTACAGTCACAATGGTTTCTTTGATATATGTACGTGGCCGAATGATTTTTTGTTGAAGGAAGGATTAGTCCTGTTGCTAGTCTTGCCTAAGAGCCGTCTCGATATCCGCCTGTAGTTGATGTGGATCTACACGTGAATGGTATCTGTAATAAGCACAACGAGAAGACTTATCAAGAGTACTACGTTCTCTAACTTTTAAAGTCAGATAATTTTCGCTTTTTGGATCAGTAACTAAAAAATGACATCAAATGACATGGAATGTGAGAAAACTTGATCACAGCAAACCGTAACTTGCTGTCTTACCTTCGGATAGGTTTTCCATTTTTACCAATAAGGAACTTCTCAAAATTCCAACGGATATCAGAAGCATGGAAATTCCGGTAGGACAGACGACCTTTTTCACTGAATTCCGCCTGAGGTGATATTGGGCAGGCTTTCTGTAACATTGATGAACCAAATATCATAACACACTTATCAAATGCACTGACTATTAGTTAAGATGTCGATGATCCTTTTTTTTGTGTGGAACTAGGTAAATAAGTCCTAGTGTCTCAAAATTCCTAAAGGCCAAAATGAGTATAAAAGTATATTTATTGCTAATAGTAGAATTAACAAGGATAAGGTCGCAAGTATAGCCTTAAGTTCTAATTTATCTTGTGAAATGGACCTAGTCATAACAGAAGGGACCTCAGCCGTACCATATATTGGCTAAGAATGTCTTCTATTTATAATTTCTACAATTTAACGATTTAACATTATTTGTTTTCAAGTTGAAACTATCTAGTTGTGTCACAGAGTATTACTACAAAGTGAATAAACGTGTCAAGAAATGTAACAAAAAGCAAAAAAAAGCTGTGTAATAGTTCTAGTTAGTATCTATACTAAGTGTTAATAGAAAACTGAGCTAGTTGGGTATTAAGAAAGGTTATTGGTCCTTAGTTGACCTTCGGCCTGGAATGTCTAATAGTTTTCAGTTTTGGAATTACTGGGGCACTGCAGCCGAAGCGCTGAGGTGTGCGCGCTTGGCCTCATAGTACGCACGCAACCCCTATATGTCCAGTAGAACTATTTGAAAATTGAATACATCAAGATGGGTTTAGTTTTATGTATTTCGTTGCGATATGTCTACTTCAATCCTACTTTATATATGATTATATATACGAGTATGATTACGAGTTTTACATGTGTGCTAGTATGGAGAATTCACTGCAACTAGGCTTGATGGCCACATTCCGGACTGTTTTGTTATGCCCTGCGGAATTTGAATCAGGACCTCATGACGCCAAGCAGCTTTTATACAAACTAGGAGCATAACAATATAAATAAAAAAAAAATGACAATGCGACTTATTTTTACTGTTAAACTGAACCGCAAAATTATATCGTTATTAAGCACTGTTGTTTTGTATGTTTCCTTGAACTAACCTTTAAATACTTGTATAGTGGGCAGGCAGTATCATCGTTAACGTCAGTCTTCTGGGTCAGCTGAAAGTTGGGTTTGTAACCTTTTCCTGGCCGCACAAACTCTATACCACTGAGGATCTCATGGGTCTTACCTGGTTCTTGCTAAAATTATAGAATGGCAACTAGCTTAGTCAAAACTGATAAGTTTTGGACGATTTTCATTGTAAATCTAACTATAAACCTACGTATTACATAATGTACTTAACCGCGAATTTTCTGCATTGGTATTAACAGCCAGTGAAACTCGCTAATTGCAATTAGGCATTTTTTTCAAATGAGACAAAATGTCAGCTATTGCTAAAGTAATTGCTTTATATCTAATGAAGATCAAAGGAGGTCGCAGTGCGACATGTAGGGCGAAAACGCATGATATGCACTTGTCTTTGATATCAAGCTTTCCTTAATTTCAGTTTTTTTACTACATAGTACACTGGATTTTATAGGGGAAATAAGGAAGCAAATTAGCCGGCAATTTTAAACAGTTAATATACTCTCATGTATAGCTTCGATTGTGCTCATCTTTAAAGTGTCTTATATTTTTAGTCGACAAGGATTATTTGACATGACCAGTTTTCCATATTTAGAATAAAGCTTTTTCGTTGTTTCCTGTCCTCTAGTCCTATCCTGTGCTGCTCGTAATAGACACCCCCTGGAGATCAATTTTTGGAATGTTTTTTTTCCGGATCTGCATATCTAGCAGATAAAATCGATGTTTCAAAGGAAAAGTTTTTCTCTTTATTTTATTGATGCATGAAATCGAACGACTGTATGTTGCGACGAAGTTATAAGTTTGGTAATTAATCAAAAAGTCATCTTAACTACCAAGAAAACCGACCTGGATCCCTTTTAGTACTATTTTCATGCAAAATAGAACATATATGAGGCTTGATGTTGGAACACTGTTGCAAAAATTACACATATTTGTTACAAAGCACACTATTTCTCTGGCAATAGTAAAATTTGTTTACAATTGTTTATCCTTGCACATGATTCCAACGCAGTTATCGCAAACGAAAATGCTTTAAGTTATTAATTTGAGCTTACTTTTCGCTATGTGCTCCTCAAAAACATTGCTTAACAAAGATGTAATTGCTAATAGGCTGCTTACCATACCGAACTGATTGCATGGGACACCGACAATTGTGAATCCTTTTCCGCCATATTTGTTAACAAGCGCATTCAAGCCGTGGTACTGGTAAGTCTTGCCTCAGTAAGTTGCCACATTGACTATAAGCATTACGTTCTTTTGATGATTACTCAGCGACACGGTCCCGTTCTCCAAGATGTCTTTCATCGAGAAGTCGTAGACCTTTTTTTCGACGTCTTTACAGGTGGCGAATTGTAACGCAGAATCAATCTCATAGTTATGCTTTCCATTTTCATTCAACATTGCGAAATGTATTATATTATTATACAAATATTGCAAATTTGATTTAATCAACCGAAATTGAGAGAAATAAAAAAAAAAGTCAGGATGATTCATAATTATCAAACTAAACAGTTCACTGATTGCGCTATAATGTAACCACAGGCCAATATATCATTTTTTTTTTACTTGATCGTTAGGACAGCAGCTGCATTTAACAGAGGACAGCGAACATTTTCAGCGGATGGTGTTAACAGATTACCATTTTCTGCCTTAACATGATTCAAATTAAGCTCACTTTCGTCACACTCAGTCGCGTCTTCAGGAAGATATAAGGTCCCGTTAATTCCCGCGATAGCGGTTAGCAAAAACGTAGCCGCCAACACCCTCATATTTGGCTTCTCTAAGGCGATCTGCAAAACACCAACTGCTTAATATATTTCTTTATAGTAAATATGCAAACCATCAAATGCCGTTGATCCACAACAAGCGTCCATTGAATCATTCGCCTATATCATTACAAAGGAGCTTAGTTGGTACATTACATTCATTTCTAAGTACGATTCTGAACTAGGAGAAGACCTCTTAAGCGTTAGTCTGATAGAACCGAAGCAAACTTTTATGAGAAATTTTCCATTTTTGTTTATAGCTCTAGCTTAGCAAGTGTACATAAACACAACATTCGTAGAATTGTGTAGAAAAGAATCGTACAGGTTTAGACGACTACTCAACTGTCTATATGTTGCTGTCTGCAGATTCGATTCGTTTTGTGACTATTGGAACTCTGTCTTTTGCAACTACTTAGCGATTCCGCGATGCCATCGTAGTGACAGGCGGAGTGATTTCGTCATTCAAAAAACCTCCTCGTTAGGTTACGTTTTACCGAGAGTCAGAGAGAGATAGCTGTAGAAGGTTCTTTTGATCGTCACATTCGGAATGAATGACCATTGTTGTACCATAGTATTAAAAAATATCATCGTTAGCTAAACTCCCGCAGAACTATCTTTTTGGATGAAGAAGGCAGTTTATACGTAAAATAAGTTATAAATGAATGGTCTAATGAAGAGGAATGTAATATCCCGTCAGTGTCGTACGTAATCAACATGCTGCATGTGTACAGCAAACAGTTGTGTATATCCGAGCCTGCTTTATATTCTGCACCTGGTAACGTGCTATCACAATGGCTATCACATACTATCACAATGACTAATTTTTTTGCAGGAGAAAACTTTGGTGTAAACCAGCAACACACCTAACCCAAGCATATCTTATCCTCAGCTGTTTTTATCGATTTATATTTATTTGAGCTTTCGCAGTTGCAATATATGACTTAACAAAAATTGAATCTTGACGGTTGGAACTTTGAAATTTGACGACAACTGGGAACTTATGCCATAAACATGTGTTCTATAAGATATCTCACTATTTTCGATGCATATACGTGAGGAAAGTGTCTTTCTTTCTATGTTTTAGCTTTTTGAGCTCGCTTTCTTCACTTGAACAGCCAGTAATATTTTTCCATTGGGCTACGATATGAGGCTTCGCTTCTGGAAGTAATAGATTATTCGTTACAAAAACCCACGACATGCAACCCAAATGCAAATTAGCACTAGTACGAACCTTGTTCCAAATAGGCCAGAGAGATACGATTTTTCAAGCTAGGTACTTTTTCTTTGTTTTGATATAATTTTTGCGTTTGACCAGCACATTAGGCTATCAACGAACCTACGTGTTTTTTTACCGAACCATCCTTCTTTATCTCGATCTACCACTAAACAGGAAATAACCATCGATACTTGTCCTCTTTCTGGTGCTTACGCTGAGTCGTCGTCAGCAGGAACGACCGTCTCAATGTACAAGCGCAACGATCTCGAGGTAGACATAAGATCTCTATGCAGGCTCCTCATAAGTATGGTTCTTAACTTCTTAACTGTCGTGTATAGAACTATGTACTCAAATTAATAAAGTTAGGAGTGGACTGTAATGTTGACTCCTTTCTCGGTTGTCTTGGCTATGATTACCATACATATTGGCAACACAGGTGAGGATACTTCAAGCGGATACATAGTTCATGTGTTACAAATCTTGCTAGCATTATAACATCTAGTAAATACACGAAGGACACGCAGTTTAGCCCGTGCCTGATAGGAGGCGTTGTTTCATCAAACAGTACATACATTATTACTCACGCCTGGATAAATGTATCTGAACTATAGCCATAATGCTATCCTATAGATCCAGACACAATTGCGAAAAAAAAACACTGAATACATTATTTAATACTGTTTTTTAACGACTCAATGTCCTTTTTAAGAAAACAATTATTTTCATAGAAGCAGAGCTATACGCCCTTGCAGTTCCATGACGTAGAAAACACAGGCTAATGAACACAACTTTGGTCAAACTATGTCCATAATGCGATCCTGTAGGTCCGGACATTATTACGAAAAAAACACTGAATACATTATTTAATACCGTTTCTTAACTACTCAATGCGTTTTTGTAAGAAAACAATTATTTTAATAGAAACAGAGCTATATGCCCTTGCACTTTCCTGACGCAGAAGGCACAGGTTAATAAATACAACTTTGATGCATTTTTAGGTTTTAAATCATAAAAGTTGTTCATAATAACAATATTTTGTATTCACTGAATATTATGAAATACTGGTTATGTTAAAACTGGTCATATAGAATATTTGTGCTGACTACTCCCAAATCACATCGTATTTTATGAAAGAAAAATAAATGATACCGATGTAAGGTTTAGTAGAATATTTTTCACACTTACAAACGATATCGGCACAGGAAGAGCAGCACGAAGCTTTAGAAAACATAGACTAAACGCTATTTTCATATTCAGCATGCATTGGGGAACATTCGCGATTTTAGACTTGAAGACTTCAAACTTGAATACGCATGCGCCGTATAAAAACGCACTAGGAGTTCGTAAGATACGTTCTATAGGCTTTATCTATTCTACACTAGGACAAACCTCTTGTCGTACGAGTCTGAACTGTCTCACTATCTACAAGTAGCCAGTGGTCACTGTATCAAAATATTTGTGTGATAGACCCTCCAGACCGTTTGAGGCAGGCGGCTGAGTAACAAGGGTACGTATACCTTTGCGTAAACAGGAGCGAGACAAAGTGAGAAAATTGGGGAAGAGGAGGGCGTTAAATTGACCGGCGTCGAAGAGAAGGAAGACGATAAAGACACCAGTCGACTGAAGGCCCCTGATATAACTAAAACGGTCAATACCGTATGCCAGCGTTATCGACCTGTCTACCCAGGCTGAATCTATCTTTTCAAAGCGACAATATCAATGATAATCAAAACAGTTCTATGCTAAAAGGTAGAAAAAAAAACGATTCTTTTTAACAGATCGCGAATTTTCCACAACCATTGTCATTAAATGTCTGTACTTAATGCTTATATAGTATAGTAGACCGGAAAACAGTTTTGCTTAATAACAGCACAGTCATTTTGCTTTCATTCCAGCAGAGCTAAAATAGCAAACGACAGGGATGTTACACAATGACAGATAAACAGAAGAAGTATTTTCAGTATTGGCTAACAACTTTTATTGAAGGGGTTGTTTCATTTATTTCATTTATTTATTGAACGGGAGCAACCCAATCATTCGCTAGCAAGCATTCAATCACCGTGCCAGCGTGAGCCAACATTAGTTGCAACCAATTCAATTTAAGTATACTTTTGTATAGCGAAGAACATAATGTGAGTATATAAAACACTATGCTTTTCTTTACATCATATTCTTAGAATTAACACAAAATCTTGACAATTTTACCACCGATTTATTGGATGAATTTATTAGTTAGTTTGCTTTCTAAACATATTTTTTATTCTCAAATGACGGAATAACACTTATGACTTGTCTATCGAAACTGCATTTTCGTAACACATACATTTCTAATATACACACCTTAGAGCTTGAACGTGTTGTCTAAAACGATATCCTTTATAGCAGAATGTACCTTTTAAAAAACCAACCTTTAAATAAGCTGATCTAAACTTCACAAGAACAAATCATACTGAAAACTTCGTATGCTCTTAGTCCTTTAATACCTCAACATATTGTCAAAAGGTCTCATGAAGTCTGCTAGCAAATGATTAAACACTGTTTTTATAGTGTGTATATATCTATAGGATCTATAGGATGGGGTAGAAAGACCGTGCTTTTAAATATTCTCGAAATGAAGAGCAAAAGCTTAATTACTGTTCGCTGCACACGCAAAGCTATATCAGCTGATGTTCCCTCAGGGACTATTTGAACTCGAGTTGCTTCGCGTAAGTTCGAATCGCGGCGCTTCATCGTTCAGTGCCAGTTTGGCCATTCACTTCATGAATATGCTGCTTCAAGGCAATGATTGCTTTCGGCGCTGCTTGACACAAATTATTTTATGCATGGCCCCTCCTAAGAAAATCGAAAGGACTCAAATAAAGACCGAAATGGTCACTAAATGTCATTGCCGCGCAGCAAAATTAACTATTCTAGAAGCATGCGTGTAGACAGATTGGTTGTTTCTTGTTCTACTGTCTCGTTTGAAGAGCGAGGGCCCAAAGGCACTTTTGCTTTACAAACCGCATTTTGCAGTCACCCCTTGCGAGTGAAGCTGTTGCTCGACATTTACTCCCGAATTTTATTAGCCCCAAATGCAAGAATCTTTTTTTTACATAGCTCAAAATGATGTGATCGAAAGGATCACTTGCGCTTTAATATATAATTAACAGATAAACGATGCTTTTGGTTTTCCTGAACATGTAATTTTTAAATCAATTGTATCCTGTAAAGATGAAGATCGAACCCTCGCTTTAGCATATCATAAAATACTCCTCGAGATGAATGAAAATTTTTAGTCCTACGACGCAGTAAGATTGTTGGACCCGCTTACTGCTCCGTTTAACAACAATCTGGAGAGTTGTTGGGTCAGTTCGTGGTCACGGTATTTCCAAATTTCTTGATTAATTGCTTTAGTGCTACGTTTGTCAACAAAAACTGCAGTCAGTATTTTGCGCAAAGTTTGCGAGTTGTCATCGTAATAGAGTCTTTATTTCGAAAATAAGTTTTTGCTAGAAGCAAACGCTGTTTCAACGTTTACAAGGTGTAGCTTTCATCATTCCAAACGCTGCTTCCAAACAGGATGTAATCGAATAAAAATATTTACGGTAACGGTTACGGACAGTGAGAATAGTCAATAAAGAGTAATAGTTTGTGATTCCACTATTTTTTATACATACACTTATTATTTCGTCATAGATCACTTAATGTAAGCAAAGCGTATATGAAGAAAAAAAACAGAAATAACTATGTAGGCCTGAAACGTATGAAAGGTAACTTACTTATCACGTACAGGATGTTGGTTATCCTGCAGATAATTAGATGGTTGACCTTCTCAATTGATAAACCTCGGTTACCGACAGATTTGAATATAATGAGGTATCTTCCTATTTATCTCATTAAAGCTTTAAATTTTTGGGCTATTTAAATGTGATATGTCATAAATGATATTTCTTTATTTTGAAGGCCTCGCATAAGCCATCCCTTTCATTAGTTTCATGTAGTTAAAAAAAGTTCCGTCGTAATTGTAAGCAGAGCAAGGAAACATTAGCCGCAGGATTTTTAACTCGGGATCAAGGTTCACAAACACCATGTGCCTTGCCACAATCTACATCAGCGTTTAAATAAGTGTTAAGTATAAAAATCTTTGTTCTGAGATAAAACGCAACAAGCAATATATCTAATTCCTAATATTTTGCAGTAATCGGTCAATTAAAGTCAGAGCTTACTGGTATTCCGTGCACAAGGTGCTTAGAAGACATTAGGAAGCAGGTACTTTTTCATCACCCATTACTTGCCTTCTAAGCTGATTCACTCTCGATGACTGATTTTGCTTTGAATATCATAAAGCCGCTACAAGCCTTACAGATGCTAAGCTGTTCTCATAACTCCATAAATCAGCCGTAATTTTTCTGCGTAACGTTCTAAGGCTCAGATCCCTTTCCGTTATTTTCGCTGCTACCCTTTGTTCAGTGTTCGAGTCCTAATTGAAATAAGTGCATATGAAAAGTGTCCCAATAAAAAGAGTAACACTTCTATCTCCTCCTCATAAAAGTAGTCGCCTCCAAAATTTTAAATATTGAAAATGGTTAAAAAAGCATCCATAAAGCTAACTGACACTTCGATGCTTTAAGATGTATGTAACATGTAACATATTTATGTATGTATGTAACATTATTTCACTCGTAAATTGCGGAGTACTAGCTCTCCTTTTAAGTGTAATTAGCTACCATTAAATATTCTTCTAGATAAATCATTAATAGATCAGCATTTTATTTAGGAGCCAATTCAGTGATCACTAGGTGCATTTAAGACGGCCATCATTAAACCTAACGTCTGCCTGCTTTTTATTTGGTATCTAAATAGAGATCATCTGATTAAATACCAGTCCACTGACAGTAGACAGTGATTCATAATGCGCAAGCATTTACTTCTCGTTCATAAAATCATTAACAGACCTAATGATAAAGTGACATAGTGACACGATCCACCCATCTCAACGATTTTTTCTACAATGTAGGAAATCGTTAAAAACAGCTAATCTCTAAATTCATTTTCAACTTAGATAAAAGTCATAATGGATTCGAATGTGTTTGCTATAAAAAAATTTTTTATACATTAAATTACGTATCAAAGTTCCGGCTTGCATTGGCCTTTTATGTGTCATTACTATTTATGACGTATTGCTTCATAGCTAACGTTCTCTGTAGTTCTTTAAATAGGGCGTCATTCGAACGTGCACCGCTTTATCGTTGACTGTTCTTTACTTAATGGGCTTTATAGAAACACATTGCTCTATTTACCTAATGACCAAGTACGTGTTTGATAATAATAATAATAATAATGATAATAGACAGAGTAACTGTTTTTCTTAAAAATCAAAGAACTCTTTCACACATTTTTTCATTACAACTAGTTGACAAACACTCCAGTGCTGTCACAGACGCAACTCGATAATAGAAAATCCAGAAATGGATAGTTGGTTGTATGCAGTTAGTGCACACTATGTTATATCTCGTCAAAAAGTAGTGCGACAATAGAGCTACCACAATCCTGTTTTAATCCACAGTTAGCTCTTATCGGTCCCTATCTCTGATGCGCCACTTTTCTTCTCAAGCGCTCAAGGCATTACGCCCGCAACAAGCTTCGAGCGCTCACTTAATGTGAAAAATTCGATACGCGTCTCTGCCAGGCAGGAAACTATGCGCTATACATGGATCGTAAAACTGTTTTTCAGGGTACAGCATAGCCTGTCAAGCGAATCCGCAATATGTACACAAGACCAAAAAGCAAGACGACCTGCTTAAGCAGAAAAATCTTGAATGCTGCGTAATTGTTGGATCAATAGAGACAACATGCTTCTCGATGCTAAAAAATTACATAAATTTTATTGATACATAAAGAAATTCGCTTAAAGAGAAACCCTAATACTGAAAAGAGATAGCAGCGTAGAGATATTTATCCTATTGTACCATTTCAAGCATAATTGAAAAATGCCCATATTATTACTCTAATTTAAGAACAATTTGGCATCTAGCCATATGGTGCATCAGTTGTCCACCATATTTTAAAATAGAACATTTAATCGAAAAATCAAGATCCGGATTACTCTTGTGCAGTTGTTACCTTTGAACAATTCGACTATTATCAATTTTTTTGAATGGAACAGCCGCTTTGAATTCAGATTTGTGGCAATTCGTAACACTTCAAGCTAAGAAAAGATAAAACGTATATCGTTTTTGGTATTATTTTTTATGCCCCCTTGACCTCCTAAATCCGTTCCAACATAAAAACTTTGAACATAAGTATAACTCAATAGTAAATCACATATAATTTAGGATCAGCTTATCGTCTTCAAGCAAATATCTTTAACTAAAAAAAGAAAAAAAAAAATATATATATATATATGTTCTATCATTTATGAATTCTTTTGCAAGCCTATTATAGTCAGTAGATTGTTTACACGGCATCAAATAAAAGAAAATGTCAAAGGTTAAGAAATATGTTATTTGCTGACTTATTTTTAAAGGTTTTTTATTCTTACGCCTGTTTTTTTCTGGCTAGCAGTGGAGGCCAAGCCATACCTTCATTATGGCGACTGTATACTCATAGCTTCACTTTGTTAATGGAGGTTTGCATGTGAATATAAACAAACGTTGATATATATTTGCACGTAAATAAAGAGTTGCACGTGGAATATACCATATGCGTTTCTAACTGGCTTGAAGTCAATTCAGGGAGGATCCATTTTTTCCTCGGTTTAGGCATTTTCAGGATTTAGGTTATAATTCTTGAGCACGTTACACGTAAAATACAAGTTCTGGCATACAAAGCCTACAAACTCTGCTTTCGTGAAAAGCCTTTTCGATTGCAACGATTGTGATTTTTTTGGATCTCGACATCTGATCACCTTCTCACTGTCCTTTAACGCTTTAATCTCCGTTTTTTTCTTTCCATTTTTCAGATACTGTGGTCTCGCTTAAGGCCATCTTGCCTAATGTCTTCACTAATCTTCGATTAATTTTCTCAGCGTTGTGGCCTTCGAGAAACAAAAGCGTTGATCTTCGGGACTAAACAATATTTTGTCTTCTTAGCTAGTTTCTCCTGAAGTAAACTCGAAGGTTTTTACCAGTGTCCACAAGACTGGAGCACTTACCATCAAAATTTTGTTTACTGGTAATGCTCCACCAACACCTCTTTCGCATTTTTCGAGAGAACAGTTCCTTCATTTCTGTTAGCTATTATAATCCTAAAATTGCTATTGTGAATTAGTCATATACTTTGTTGTAGTACTTAATGATTATTATTACAAAATTTCAGCTGACAGCTTACTATTTAAATATGAAAAAACAAAAATGGCTATTTAGGTAATCATCTTCGGCATATTTTTATGTATACAAGATCTTACTTTAAAAACTGGGTTAGATTTTCTTACTTCTAATTAATTTCTTAACGATTACCCTAGAACAAACATTTTAAGTGCAGCAAAGGTACAATAAACAAATTTAATAACAATTAATAACAATAACGCATGATCAGCGATTTTTCATGATTTATTTTATAATAAATTATAGTAATATCAATACGGATGGTAATGATTACTATATCTCTTATTAATCATCGCTAAATATTTCATTAGATTGTGAAGCCTTATCTTTTTCTGTGAGAAATTGGATCATTTTACCAATTGTATATGCCGCAAATTTTTTCACCGCTATGAGTTTTCAACCATCAGATATATAAAAGTTCCCTAGTCCCTTTTCTCATCCACATCTTGCTAAATAATAGGCTAAACGGACCCGTGTCGTGTGACATCTTGGACTTCTAAACAGATTTTGTGCTTTAAAAAATAAAAAACATATCGTTATATTTGTGGGCTGGTTATCTGTTGGTAAGGACGAACATGTTAATTGGTTTTATTACCCGCTTGACTTGAACACGGTGCATTTAGAAGCGCCATAAATTGGGAAAAAGAGGTCCCAAAAAAAGTCACCAACGCTTACAATCATTATGACCCATCTGGATATTAAAAGTTTGAGATTTCGTGTAGTAATAACCATTTTTGGACTCGGAGACCGTAAATAATTGCTTGAGCATCTAAAGTTGTCAGATGTAGCAGATGCTGTTTTTATGAACAGGGCCTCCCATTCTTCCGGCTGAGTAACTCGGACTCTTTAAGTAAGATTTATCTTTATCATAATAAGATGGCATGCCGCCTTTGCTTCTTGACACCCTAGTCTAAATACAGTATTTCGCCCTCTCAAATATCTCCCTTCCTCCTCTACCTAACACCAAGAAATAAGTGTCATTTTTTCACCTAAATTAGTCAGGAACATTAATGCAGGGCTCTGAAGATTCAAGATTCGCGTCACCATATTATTTGCTTTGTTTACTATAATATTAAATACTTTAGCGGCTAAAACATAAATACGTTAAGCCGAGCGAAAGCAAAGAAAAAGTCTACGACCGCGCGACTTTCTGCCTAAGCGTCGCAACTAGATCCTTTCTATTAACTTCAACCTCCTCTCGAGTGACGACGGTTTTTAACTTGACAATACCTTGCTCAATTTCAGATTCGCCAATGATAATCGCAAATGGTATACGCTTGTCCTCACAATACTGTAGCTGAACGAGTAACTTTGGATTAAGTTTGAATGATTGTTCTACTTTGAAACCGTTGGCCCACAGTTCAGCACAAATTTTCATGCGTTCTTTAGCAAGACCCTTTTGGGCTGAACATACATAAACTTCGGTAGCCACACTTCGAATAGGTAAACCCGAATGAGCATCATTGGGCTGCCTATTTTCGAGAATTGTAAAAATTCTTTCAACACCAATAGAGATGCCAACACAGGGTGTGGATTTATTCTTGGCATCGAAGACACCAACAAGACCATCATAACGGCCGCCAGCAGCAATTGAGCCTACGCTTTCACCTTCGTCCTGAGGAGAGGCAGGGTTCTGACGTAATATCGCTTCATAGATAACGCCTGTATAGTAATCGAGGCCTCGAGCCAAACTAAGGTCGAACGACAAGTACTGAGCGATACCGTAAATCTCGGCATACTCAAACAATAGTTTGAGATCCTCAAGACCCTTTTTTGCGTTAGGATTTTTGCCCAGGTCCTCGCCAAGGAATTTATCTACAAGTTCTACCCCTCCGTTAAATTTAACAAATTTCTCGATTTTATCAGCGGTCTCTTCCGCAAGACCCTTGACCTCACACATTTCTTTTTTAACCTCTTCCCATGGACTTTTATCCAGTTTATCAAGTGCCGAACAAATCTCCTTGAATTTCTCGTTAGGAACACCACATTTGTTAAACATGCCGTTTAATATTTCGCGGTGATTAACCTTGATCACAAATTCACCAATGTCGAGTTTTTTGATAATTTCGCAGGCAATTTGGATACACTCCATATCAGGAAGCATGGGATCGTACTGACCCGCAATGTCAAAGTCACACTGGTAGAACTCACGATAACGACCCCGAGTCATCGCCGGATTATCCCTTCTATACACCTTGCCAATGTGAAAGCGCTTAATGTTCGCGATCTTATTCATGGCCAGGTAACGAGCGAATGGTACCGTTAGGTCGTATCTGCAAAAGTACACAAGCATCATTTTTATTAATCATACTTATCAATTAATGTCAAGCGTATCCGCATTATTACAAATATTACTTTTGCGCGTCTAAGCATTTTAAAATTCGTACTATATGATTATGTCATTGCACACATTCCGTCCACGCTAAGAGTAATCACAATTTATCTAGGTCAATGTTTTACGTATAAAATACCAAAAGTAAAAATACAAATAAAAATACTCAGAGGGAGCATTTGATGAGCGAATGAGTAAAGTTGAAAAGAGAAATAAATAAGAAACGTGAGTCGATTTCTTCATTTCCAAATAATCCATAGAGCAAAACTAGAAGATATGTCCCACGAGATTCGTGGAAATTTCGTCACCATAGAATTATAGTTAAGGCGGTGGGCCCGTCGCTATTTAAGTTGCTTAAGTTGACGTCTCCTCATTTTTGGTGGAGTTTCTAGTATACAAAACCATTGCGATTTCACTGGGACACCTCGTTACCGCAGCCCCAAAAGCTGTTCACCAAGAGGGCATTACAACCTTACAGAAAGGTGCAGGGCTCAAAATGTTAAATGAGAGACCAGGCAAGAGTTAAGAGCCAAAGTGCAGTTATGTGACAAACAAGCTCGAACGGTTCATATTATATCTGAGCGACCCGGTACATACTTGGGATCAAGACATTCCGCAACGTCTTGACCTCAAATAGAGGAGTATAACAAAAATACACAAGCTCAGCGTCATTTATACATGAGTTCGCCAATGTGGTTCTTGAGAAGCATTCTATTAAAAAACTTGATGATACATAGCCAAAAAACATGAAGGATAACTTAGCTGCCTTTTGCAGTGCTGAAAAGTGTGGTTATACCCCAAAAGTGTTGACAGCTAAATAAGGGATCCGGCATTCTTTTTACCAGTTCGTATTCCGGCAGTTTTAAAGTTAATTAACTTTTAAACTGCGCCCTACTGGCAATCGAAACTTAATAGGTAAGTACCCTAGTTTTCTAGATTGTGAGTGAAAAACAATTTAATTTATCTTAGGAGAAATGAATTCGCAGGGAAAGCATCTTTTAGTTTCGAAAATCAACCGTCAGTGCTTAACTTTTTGTTTCTCGATGGTCACAACGATACGGGCATTTATCGACAATTGATGAAGACACCAGGCAAGGAGGCCTTAAGCGGACGCACAATATGCAGATGGTGCAAAGTTTCCAAAACCTGAACTGAAGTATTGAACACCACTAAAAAGGTAATCAGATGTCCGGATCCGAAGGACTAGAATGCATTGCTGCAATCGGGGAGAGCTTTTATGAACCCAGAGCTTGGGGTCTGAAGGCCCGATTGGCCAAAGCTAGCATTTTGCATGTAGGGTGTTGCAGAATCATAACCCAAATACTGAAAATGCAGAACCTAAGTAAACATTCCAGGCCAGTCAGAAATGAGTGTGACTAATTCGATGCGCAATTTTCAGATTTTTAATCAATAAAAAACCGTTTGAAACATACGGTCGGCATAGACATGGCATGATTCAACCTGTACTGCCAGTTACAAAGGAACTACGCGAGAGAATAGTGTCGCCCCGAAAAAGATCAAGTAGGTTCGAACTTAGGCGATGGAAGTACTTGCAATAAACATCAGGGGCATCTGCTACTACACGCCAAAAATGAAATAATAAGTGCAGGCCGCCATCTCAAATTCCTCAGAAAACCTATAGACCGTTGGCATGACATTCGAAAGAACATGGTATTGTTACCAGATGACAAAATCAGGTTTCATCGCCATGCTATGATTAGTTTTTAGATTAAACGAAGGAAACATATATGAGTCTCAGCCCACCTATTATTCCGGTCTAAGCTCGTACGATTATGGGATTTAAGCCCTAAAGAGAATAACTGGTGGACATGCATACCCTAGTAGAGATTTACTGCGAGTTAACGCGATATGGTAAGTATACGGCTATCCGGACACTGTTGGGTCGCTGAGGGAGCGAAACATGAAAACTTCTAATACATAGTAAAAATTATCATTCTAGCCCAATTAGTTCAAAGTTGTTTGATTTGTCCGACGGATTTGCTTGTAGTAGTTTAATATTACAGAATATTAAATAAAGGTAATCTTACTGATTTAAGAAAGGTGAAATAAAAAAAAAGCTAACCATTACCTCAATGATAAAATCTCTCCACCCTGATCGGCAAGGTCGTAGATAAGTTTTGAATCTTCTCCGTATTTTCCTGTTAGAGTTTGTTTCAACTCGAACACAGGGGTATCGATCTGTTCTGCACCGTGACGTGTAAAACATTCCTTGACGATGGCGAAGACATGTTCACGAAGCGCCATTTGCATAGGACCTTGGTCTCGAGTACCCTTAAAGTAAAAATAGAAATCATATGAAACTAAAATACATCACCCTCAGTTTTACTAGATCAAATGCAGAATCTGCCAATATAGGTCGAAGGTTCAAGTGCCTAAAACACATACATTCTATGCTTAGGTGCGTATTTTGAATGTTCCAATCGGAAAATAATCAAGAAGGTACACTTGTGGTAAACATGTTTCCCAGTAAATTGCCACACCTTAATAGAACACATTTTTAGATCTATATTTACAGTAATGATAGTATTACATATTTAGATTAGAATAAGATACCTACTATATTTACGATAGTGGTTCTTATCGCTAGATTCCATAAAGACATCATATATTAATTATGTACACGGAAACAAAGAGGGAACGAGGACTGCTTATGGTCGTCTATAAGAACCAGTAGATCGCTTTGTTTATTTGACTTGATGTCATTTGGAACGGTAAAAATAAACAGAAATTATGAATAAAACGTATTACCATGCCAAAGCAATTAAAAACCATTCCAAATACTAGTCTGATGTGTTTGGTTATAAAATAAGTTCTTACCTTTGGTGTTTTCAGTATGAACTTCTCCTCTTTTTTGATACTTTTCGGGCCTTTCCTTGCTGCTCCATCTTGGGGCTCATCCTTTTCTTTGCCGTCACTTTGAATTTTTAAATCCATCTTTTCAGAAACGGCTGCAGCATCCTATATTCAAACAATCATGGAACGTGTATAATATTATCAGCAGATCTGATTGTTGTTATTATTCGAGTAGGTGAAGCAAGCCCAGATTTCACGCCGCCTTGGAACTCAACATAGTCAAACTGTTTCCTAATGCCCATCTTTACTCCAGTTCTACCAAACTCCTCCTAAAAATAATAAGCTAAGAGAGTGAATTATGCATTCAAGATTAGACTGGAAAGATGACGAAATAACAACGTCTTTCTTTATCTTTTTGGTTGGAAATAACTTTTTTTTTTCTATGCAGTCTATGCAATAAGGTTAGAGAGACGATACATGATTGATTGGGCACAATTATTTCTCTGTTGAGTTTTTGAAGGGCAGTGAACAATTTGGACTTAGCTCACTTACCCATAAGCTGCTCAACCTGTTGCCATTTCGTGGCCAACAGCTGTCTCCGAACACCGATGAGGATATTATCTGAGTAGAAGCACAGCAACCACTTTGCCAGCTGAACGCCTTCGAGTAACGGACTACCCCCGACAAGGTTGGTCTAGTGAATACCTGCATGACTGAAATTATTGGACCTTATAGCACTAGCCCCATTTACAAGAACAACCCATATGGAAACTTTTTCGTTCGTAGTTCGAGAAAAAGCAAGCACGCAAAGCTTTACCACGTTATGAAACTGCACCCAGGTCGCCCTAAACTGCGACTCGTATTTGGTAATTATTACTGGTAGCTCAGACCGGAACAGTACATACTCACGAGACTACACGCATAGACAAAACTGCAACTAATTTTTGAGGACGAAGCAAACTTCATTTCGGTCCAAATAAGCACTTATATACATGCACTAACTATAAAGAAAGCCTTTCAAGCTCTTTGACTTCATATTCAAAAATACAGCGAAACTCTTGAGTTTTTCATCCGTCGCAGCTCAAGATCTACTTATCTTATTTACAGTCCCGTTGACTTACCTTGCTTGTATCTTCTCCAGTCATTGCAGGAAGAACCGTTCCGTATGCCTGAATCGTATGGAACTAATTGTTACGCTTATTCTATTGCAGTAATAGGTAAGACATGGGCAAACCGGCACCTAAACTAGTGCAGCCGGCGCTGGTCATACAACGTGTTCGATTTCACTAGTGTATATGTTCCTGCATACTATGTAATTGTTTCTGTAGCGAAATCAGTGCGAGTTGGTAGCTGCAGTCGCCGTCTTGAATGAACGCATTTTCGAATGCTCTGTCACTAGCAGAAGACAGGAAGCTATTAGCTTTTCATCACGGTAACGACAGGAAATTAACGAGTAACTTTTAGCTGCTAGCGTTGGACGCAGTGGCTATCGTGAAAGTAAAATAATTAAAAACGTAAGTTCTCGGACTCCACATGCAGCATCGCATTGTTCATAATAAATCACTGCATTGCTGTCTTAATGTAACAGTTTGTATGTTTTCTCACTGTTTTCTTTAATCTTAAGGCTTCCCTGTGCTCTTCGACATCAACACTCTGTGTACAGCTTACATACAAAAAAGCACATGCATACTACACGCGAGTTCAGCAATGTCGTTTGACGGATAGTCAACCGGAAGCAACATTTGGTATAAATTCTCAAATACCTCAGGCTCCGGACAATGCAACAATCGTGGATGCAGTGATTACCACATTCAGCCACTCACAATTTGCAAGTCGAATTCCACTATAAAACAGTTGTATAGGACTGCTTCGACCTTTGAAGCTGAATGCAGTAACAAAAATGGCACAAAAATTTGCTTGGGCTCGTCAAGCAGAGATACTCCGTTCAGACGAAAAGGACCGTCAGCATCTTGATTCCACTCGTCGGGACATTTTCGATGCGCTCATTGAGCTTATAGGACTCCGTCGTATTGTAAGACATCACCAGGTAGGTGTGCTACATTCTACTCAGGTGGTTTATAATGTAGCTATGAAATGGTTTTTATACGCATATGAAATAGCTTTCGTACTACAGCTTGCAAAAGTGCCATGATTACGTGGCTCTCTAAAACAAAAGTTCATTGATTTCGACTATGAAAAAGTTGTACACATTTATAATAAATATGGAAATCCTTGCTGACTTATATGAACATTTCTACAGAGCAACTCCTCAATCTATTCTTTGAAATCATCAGAGGATTCACGGTCGTAAAGTGTTTTTAAATCTAAATAAACCGACGTGCAAATACATAAACACATTCTTGACATGTTACAAATTTGTATATATATAATTGACCTATATATATATATATACGCCTATTAATGTAAACGTAGTTTATAAATAAAAAATCCGTATTGATCAATAGTTACTTACAAATTTCAGGTTATTACAACAGTCAACAGCCTTATCTACTATGGACTGACCACACTTCGTGAGCGACAAACGCTCGGTGAGCAGTATGTCAACATCGTTCGATGTACACCCGAAACTCAACCCAATTCATTTTTTCAAAGAGCGATACTTCTTGCTGATCACCTGCCATGGAAGCAGTTGGTGAAAACCGGCAATCCTGAACAACAACTAGTGGCTTCCATTTTTCTACAACTACATTTGATTCATTTTTATCTGTTTGGAGAATACTCGTCTATTGCGCGTCGTTTGGGTCGAAGCCGCTATGCTTTACTTCGCGGTTTTCCCGACATGCCTCAACTTCAGTGGACTTTTAAGATAATCGGAATCCTATACACTATTAAACTTCTTCGCGAGCTGTTTCAGGCTACAATATCGTTCAAATCGGTCAAGACAGAAGTAAAAGCAGCCAAAACTGAAGAAAATGATAAAGAAATTGGCGGGCTCCAGTGCGGCTTATGTAGAGACCTCACGACTGAGTGTACGGTTACTCGTTGCGGCCACATATTCTGCTGGACCTGTATCACTGAATGGGCGGTAAACAGGCCTCAATGCCCACTATGTCGCAGTACAGTCAACCCTGAACAGCTCGTACGAGTAATTAATAGATAAATTTAACCTGAGGCAACGACAATATGGATTTCTAACAAACGTATGCAACTACTAACAACAAATTTAGGTTTTCAGTTATATCTTTGCGTATAATACACTAATATACTATTATCCGCAGAAAAAAGCAGAGGGATTTTTCTAAACTAAAAAGATGCATGGTGAAAGCTATCATCTTCAATTAGCGCGTCATCTTCAATTACGTTTTAATCATTGAAGGACAGCGATTTATATTAACGAATCATGCACAAATATTGAGCTACGACTTCAATTTCCCTTCAAGCAGTTGTAAATAATAACTATTCAGGTCCTGACTTAGATTTTGCATCGTACTAAAGGCCTGGGGACAAAGTAGATATAAACTCGTAGTGGATATATGTACGTAACGCTTATGTTGTAATCAATTCCTTAATTACTTAAATAAAGGAGATTTTTCATCATATTATGTAGCAACTATAAAAAAAATAAAACAGTTTGTGGTCTTTATCTGTACTTTTTTCTTTTTGAATAAACCCCAAAAGCGCAAATATTCCAAAAAGAGGAGTATCCTAGTACGTCCGTCCTAGTAGTATCAAATTTAGGCCAATTTTTGCCTTTATTTATCCATTGGAAGAAAGCGTTCTTCAAACTGTTCCTTTGTGATTTTATGCAGCTTCTCTTTTTTATAAGCTTCTCGTCCATTATGAGTTCATCCAAATTTAGGCCAATTTTTGCCTTTATTTATCCATTGAAAGAAAGCGTTCTTCAAACTGTTCCTTTGTGATTTTATGCAGCTTCTCTTTTTTTATAAGCTTCTCGTCCATTATGAGTTCATCCAGTTCACGCTCTTCCTTCAGTTGAGCTTTCAATCTCCGCTTGGCTGAAGGATTCATGTCCGTTGAAATTATATCGGAGTTTTTCCGCTTTTTTTTATACCGCCTTTTGCTTCCGCCCCTGGCATTTTTAGCTGCTCTCTTGGCTTCCAGGTGATGACTAATTATGCCTATTGGAGGCTTAAAACCACTAAGTTTTTTTCCCTTTAATTCGGGCATATATGGAATTTTAAGCAAAGCGTACCCCATAGCCAATCTTCCAAACTCGAGTTCCTCAACTCGAAATAAAAGATTACATTCATGCTTCCGATACGATTGTATGTAGGAAACGAACGCTCTCATAGCCTCGATATAAATAGATTCATTGTCGGCTTCCAAATGACGAATGACGTCAGTTACATCTTCGACGTTCTCTGGTGCTTGCATCGGGTCAAGTTTGATTGTCTGATTCAAAGTCAGGAACTTAGTATAGCTCATTTCGTTTGGCATCAGAAATACGACTGCTGAACCCTCATTGCCCATTCGAGCAGTTCGTCCACAGCGGTGCACGAAGACAGACCCACTAAGTGGAGGGTCGTATTGCACGACCCAATCAACTTTGGGGATGTCTACTCCCCGGGCCATAACGTCTGTGCATAGAAGAACTCCGCTTTTTGTGCCCGAAAATTTAGCGAACACTTTTGAGCGATTGCTTCGGAGTTTTCCATGTAGTGCTAAGAGCATTGACAAGTCTGGAAACAAATGCTTAATTATGGTATGAAAGTACTGGACCGTTGCGCATGTGCTTAAAAATACCATGATCTTTTCAGTCCGATGTTGCTTAAGAAATGCCACAAGAACGCTTAACTTGGCTTCAGGCTCTACCTGGGTAACGAAGTTCTGCAACTGGACAGGCGTCTTCAAATTATGCTTTTCTTTTACCGAAACAGTTACTGGATTACGAAGTCCTGCACGCTTCAGGTCATCCAACTGCTTTGTTTGCGTAGCCGAGAATAGTCCAGTTCGACGTTGTTTTGGTAGTACAGCTAATATATTTCCGAGTAAAATCTCAAAGTGAAGCTCTAAAAGTCGGTCAGCCTCGTCTAGAATGAGGATCTCAAGATTTCGTGAATATCTGCACAAATTATTATTAGCATTGCGAGCGCTAAGGACATCGGCCAGCCTTCCAGGCGTCCCTACTACGACGTGCGCTCCTTTCATTTTTTCAAACTTTTCAACATCCTTCTGGATACTGTGGCCGCCGGTGATTAACTGAACACGCAGATTTGGGAACTTAAGGGATTTGAACAGCTGAAAGAAAAGATGCATGTCATGAGCAACCGAAGAATTAAATTTAAATTAAATTATAAATAAAATTGTATGAGTCAAACAAAGCTATTTAAGACAAAATACGGGACGTTGCTTCAAGTTATTTGAGCCAACCTTAATCATTGCTCAAAATATGTATATTTTTTACAAAAAAATTGTCGTCGCATGTTTAATAGCGTGTGAGCCCTAGCTTACTTTTATCGGAGACATAAGTCTAGCCGATGTATATCTGCCACATGTGGTCCTAGTACCTGATGCGTTTGTTGCGCAAGTTCTCTGGTAGGGGACACGATTAATGCAGCTAAAGGCTTAAGTTTCTCTGAGTTTCCCATAAGGATCTCGCAAATAGGAAGTACAAAAGCAAGGGTTTTCCCAGAGCCTGTAGCCGCCTCTGCCGATACGTCTTTATTACGCAGAAGCAAAGGAATACAAACTGCCTGAACGGGGGTAGGAGCAGTAAAACCCAGCGAACGAACCCGCTCCGTGGTCGCTTCCGATAGTCCCAGCTTATCCCAAGATTGCAAATCTGCCTACAATCAAAAGAGTGAACGAAGAAACCAATTATTAGCTGTTTTCCTTAGAACATAAATAGCTGCCCCTGCTATTACTTTGGGCAGTCTGGTTCAAGATTTAAGGCATACTAAAATTATGAATGAACTTTTTAATGAAAGTGCATAAAACTGACCTCTCCATAGCCTCACGGCTCCTCGAAACGTCATATTTCTTTTTTAAATTAGAGTCGCTCTTTTCTATATCTCAGTTTATGATACTTACTTTTTATGATAACAATTATGATATCCGTAATGCAGATAGTATGCGAAATTAATTATAGTTTCTTTGATTACAGTATCTTTAATGTTGACACAATAATTATGAAGACCGTATAACAAAGAATCAAGTACCTTTACCATATGATAATAATGACAATAACTGTTATTGCTACGTCAGTCGTTCGTTAATTGATGTTATACTTAATAATCTAAAAATAAATCATAAATAAAACTCGCACCTTTATACAAGATCCTACTATTTTTTTTAACGTCTACGAGAAGGATCATATGGTATGGTTGTTGCGTGCGATATTGAAATGTGTCGAAAAAGCAACAAGCGTGTGTTAAACTACTAAACAAAGAAGTCTGGTAGACATGTTTTGCGCTCTATTTGGAAAAGTCACACTCCTAATAAAAAAATCATATCAAGTGTTTCCAACAGAGAATATATTCGAATAAATGTTATATGCGGTATATAACTTGATAGGTTGATGAAACAATGATACAATCAGGTTTCTGTTTAGTTTACTTTGTCTAATTCGTACCATTTTTCTACTTATTGCCGCTATACAACATCACATATCCATCACGAATACAACATCGATCACTCATCAAATACACAATACCTGCCATCAAGCACTCACAGTTACCTGTCTAGAAAAAAACAGTACAACAAATTGTGTTCGATTTATAACAAAGAAGCTGTTATATCAACTGCTGTCGAGCACGTGCGTCGACTATCCGTCAACATGCGCAAATCCGAGCATTAATATGTGGTTTATTTTGATGTCGATTCTGGAAAGTCTGAAGGCGTGTCATGATTAGGATCTAGCTTGTTGACTACGATGCTTAGCCTAGGAAAACTTGATTTATCTACAAGTGCTCTTGATTCAGTAGTTGTTGACTACGTGAACATGACAACTGACCAACTAGGCGAAGACTTTTTATTTCTCGGAAGAGTCGGCCACCTCGAATGGTTTCGATATGGGGGTGTGCTGTGTAATCAGCTGAAGACCAATGCCAGTAGACCCAGACAGGCGAAAATAGAAACAGTTCCATCGATGTGTGTTGTCACTAGTGATCATGTTGCTGGTGGAAAAGAACACATTACCGCTGGTTTGACTACCGAAGGAAGGAAGGGAGTTTTGTGCGCGTGATTGGTTCTGTCCCGGAGCAGCAAAGCGATTCGTCAGTGTCCCAAATCATTAAACAGAACAGCGCGTTCCTAACGTTGTCAAGATGATAGCAGGTTTAGATGTGTCTCGAAGAGTTTTTCGTGGCACCAGCCGTGTATTAGGGGGTTGTCGATTGTCATCGATTAATGCAGCTGCAGTTACCGAGATCACCGCCAGCAATGTCGACGATAGGAAACCAGAAGTCTACGCGGGCATAGAACAATTTACGCGAGAACAACAGCTACTCTGCCGACGAAAGAACCCAGCGTTCGCGCTCCCCCACAACTTGCAGCATTTGATCAGTGAGTTCCTCTCGAACTTTTTATTATTATATGATTTACATTGTCACGCTTGTAGTATTGTGCATACAACATA